CGCGCTCTCCACCTTCAGGGCCTGACGCCGGGATCTGTGACCTGGTCTGCCGCCATGCGAGGTATAGTCCAGGCCCAACTGGACGGCACCGATGACGACCCTGGAGAGGCAATCAGCAACCAGGTTCGACTTGCCAGCCACGTGCTTAATGTCCGTAGTGAACTCCGATATGTAGGACAGCTGCCGCTGCTGACGTGCCGACCAAGGCTCCGCCACTTTTGACATGGCAAAGTGAGCGGCTTGTGGTCGACAAACGCCGTAAATTCACGGCCTTCCAGCATGAAACGGAAGTGCCGCACGGCCAAATAAAGTCCGAGGAGCTCCCGGTCAAAGGCGCTGTATTTGCGTTCTCTAGGCGTCAGCTGGCGGCTGAAAAAGGCGAGCGGCTGCCAAGCGCCCTCCACCCACTGCTCGTGCACTGCGGCCGACCGCGTAGTCTGACGCGTCCGTGGTGATGGAGATGGGAGCCGTAGATGATGGGTGTGCCAGCAAAGCCGCCTGAGCCAACGCGGTCCTTGACCTCAGCAAAAGCGCCGTCCGCCTCTGCTGTCCAGTCGATCTCCTGGACGGGGGTCTTGCCTTTCAAAGCCTTCATACACGGCCGCAATGATGTGTGCGGCCCGGGCGATGAAACGGTGGTAGAAAGTCACCATCCCCAGAGACTCACGGAGCGACCGGGCTGTGAGCGGGCGAGGAAAACTCCGCAACAGCCTCCACCTTCGCTGGCAGAGGTGTCGCACCGCCCTTGGTGACGCGGTGCCCCAGGAAATCGATGTCCGACACCCCGAACTGGCACTTTGCAGGATTGATGATTAATCCGTGTTCGTTGAGCCGTGTGAAAAGGGCTCGGAGGTGGGACAGGTGCTCCTGCACTGAAGCGCTGGCGACGAGTATGTCGTCGAGGTAAACAAAACACAAACGGCAGGTCCCGCAGCACCGAATCCATCAGGCGCTGGAACGTCTGAGCGGCATTCTTGAGTCCAAAAGGCATCCGCAGGAACTCAAAAAGTCCAAAAGGCGTTATCACTGCTGTCTGGGAATGTCCAGGGGGTGCATGGGCACCTGGTGGTATCCACGCACCAGGTCCACCTTGGAAAACACCCCCGTACCGGCCAGATGCGCCGAAAAGTCCTGAATGTGCGGCACCGGATAGCGGTCAGGCGTAGTGGCGTCGTTGAGTCGGCGGTAATCCCCGCACGGGCGGAACCCGCCGTTCGATTTGGGAACGACGTGCAGGGGGAAGCCCAAGGACTGTCGGAGCGGCGGACAATGCCCAGGCGCTCCATGGTTGCGAACTCCGCCCTCGCTACAGCCAGCTTAGAAGGGTTCAACCGCCGGGCCCTGGCGTAGACAGGAGGCCCTCCGGTAGTGACGTGGTGTTCCACGCCATGCTTAGTGGTAAGCGCAGAGAAGGTGGGTAGCGACAGGTCTGGAAACTCGGCCAACAGTCTGAGAAACGTGTCTGCACCTGACAGCGAGCCTGACAGCTATCAAGTGTGCACACGAGGGAAGAAAACGTTAAGGCATCAACCAAACGCCTATTCTTAACGTCCACTAAGAGTCCATGAGCACACAAAAAATCCGCTCCGAGGAGGGGAAAAGAAATGTCCGCTGTCACAAAATCCTAGCTGAAACGCTGTCCTCCGATGCACAAACACATAGGCCTCACGCCGTACGTGCGAATGGGACTGCCGTTAGCCGTCGTCAATCGTGGTCCGTGCCCCCCACGGGCGACGTCTTCACTCGACGCTGGAACTACGCTCCGTTGAGCGCCCGTGTCACACAGAAACAGGCTCCCCGAAACGCTGTCGCTGACGAAGAGGAGCCTGCACGTGCCGCCGACGCTCAGAGCCACTACTGAGCGCCGGCCCCTCCGTTTCCCGGGGGTTTGTAGCTGCACGGAGCGATGCATCTCTTCGCCCTTGTCCCGAAACGTGCGTGGTAAACGCACTCTCCGGCGTCTCCACGCCGGCTAGCCACAGCCGTGTCCGGCCTCCGCCACGCTTTCTTGACTGCCGGTGGGCCGCTGAGCGTCGCGGCTAACGCCTCTGCCCCGGGCTGTTGCGTAGCCAGGAAAAAACGATCCGCTTCCTCAGCCAAAGCACGGGGCTCCGTGACAGGCGTGTTGGCCAGCGCCGTCTGTACCCGGGGAGGCAAGTGACGCAGGAAAAATCTCCGTGAATAAAATACGGGGATCTTCCCCCCTAGCAGATTTAGCATTTTCTCCATTAGCTGGGATGGCTTGCTGTCTCCTAGGCCTTGAATGTCAAGTATCTGGCGGGCCCTCTCCTTAGCAGATAAGCTAAATGTCTTAAGGAGAAGGGCCTTAATCGCCTCATATTTGCCATGATGTGGGGGGGCTGCGATGAATCCCACCAACCTGGACGACGTGGAGCTCCCCAGCGCTGCTACCACATGGTAGTATTTTAGGTCCCCGTCACGGACCTGTCGGCAGGCGAAATGTGCCTCCACGTGTGCGAACCATGCCTCCGCGGTGTGCTCCCAGAATTCCAGCAGCTTTATGAAAACATCGCGCTCAGCCATGTTCGTTAATTTTCCGGAAACTTTCTCGGAAAAGTCAGGGTCACCAGTGTAGTGCCGTGAAAAGAGAGTCGGAGGCGGTGTATTAAGAATGGAGTTCCAATCTTTATTATCCATTACTTTCAGAGAGGTTAACACATGCACTGCTCTGCCTGATGAGCTAGCAGGAATGGCAGCTAAAGCTACAGGTGTTCCCCACTAAAGGGTCCGTGTGGCAACACAATAAGCAAGGTGAATTATGTCCAATAACGTGTCACCACAGTAGTTACTTTACACCACTGGCTATAAAGATAGAAAGACTAAGCCTTGCACAGAGGCATGAAAATACATTTTCAAAATGCTCAACAGTGCTGCCAAAATTATAAACTGACTGCTACACAATTAAAATAAATGCGTTTATATATTTCTATTAGATGTGACTCTTTAGCGTTTCTGTTATTATTAACACTGCTGCTTTAGTTGTTCTGACTGCTAAAATCCTCTGTTATTCTTAATTTTAAAGCCGATATTCCGTGGGGTCGGATCCTTGTCACCTTTTTCATACCTGATGAGTTTGCATCCCTGAGATAGCATGAAGTAGAAAAGATCGGCGATCGCCGATGCTAGCGTTAGCATTTCTCCCCCGGGCTTAATTTGTGTATTATAGAATGATCACACCGGTGACAGTACTCTTCCTAAAGGGTTCACGAAATATGACTACTACTCTTACTGTTTAACATTTTTGGGTTACTTAATGTTACTTCATATTAAGGCTAATACAAATGACAAGGCTGTAATGCTAACTAACGTGCTAGCTACTAGCTAGGTAGCTAACTTGATCCAGCCACTCCTGGTCCTTTCATCAGACGGGAAGCAAAAGAACGAGCAAGACACATTGCTGGTATGATAACAACCTGGTACTAAGCACACAGGCATCTTGTTAAAGTTATCTTATCTTAACCAGCGCCATATAGATAGATTATATCTATATGGCGCTGATTTGAGCTATCTCTTAGTGGAGAAAAACAATTGTGACATCACTTACGCGACTCTGGGATTTGTAATCTTTCTAGTTGCGTATTTTTCATAGTCTGATATTTCAACAGTTTTACGACAAACTGTGACTTTTTTGACATGGAAATTATTTTTTAAGATTGACAAACATCATAGGCCTATGTGTAATTCATGGCACAATTCAAACGGGATCGAAAGATAAGTTTTCTCTCTCCATTGACTTCAATACTTTAGAGGCTTCTCAATACTCAAATTTCCCCTCCTCGACTGCTCGACTCCTCGGTCCTCCGGTAGTGACCCGGAAATGAATTTCAGCGCGCCATTTTGAAGGACGTCTCATTTCTCTAAATGCACACCGAGGACCGAGCATCGAGCGTCGAGGAGGCTCTCTGGAGGAGCTATAACCGAGGATACACTGATGGTTCCTCCACGGCTCCTCCACGGATGCATTTCCGGGAACGGTGACTTATCTCAGCCAATGACAGCTATGCATGCATCCCCTGGATATTATTTTAGAAACTGCTTTCATCGCGTCGCGATGTTTCCAGTGAGAACAGCTGTAAGGTCCGTGCAGAAAGCAGAGCAGTGTGTATAATATATATCACTCAGTATAACAGGCCTACTCTCTTTATTTGCTTTAGTTTAGTAGATATCTACAAACAAAGAGTCGATATTTTTCTAAGACCATTGCTTCACATAATAAAATACACAACGGCTTATGCTTTAGGAGCTGTAGGTGTGTGTGGTACAGTGTGTAGGTGTGTGTTGTACAGTGTGTAGGTGTGTGTTGTACAGTGCGTAAATGCGGCGGACAGACGGGTCTCAGTTGGTTTGGTGTCCTCTGCTTACTTTTAATAGGCCTACTTGTAATTTTTGGCCCGTAATTTCAATTCCCCATTTCAGCGACCAGAGAGAGGGGGGGATATATCCAGTCTCTGATTGTGTTACGTTATTATGAGAGTGCTCTCATACTTTAAATTGTATATATTTATATAAATATATTTGTGTGTGTGTGTCCGCATCTGTAGCCTGTTATTGTCTCATTATAGCGCACTCTCAATGAATTCAAAGTAAATATGTGGGGGAACAATGTTCAGCTGATCTAACAGAGATACAGCGCTATGACAAAACACTCGACAGCTGATGCAGCTGTTGCCACGTAATAATGAACGGACGTCGCTTTAAAATGACCGCTCAGAGGAGAGTAGTTCTCATTTCTTTAAACGTCTGCTGCTTCCCCTCCTCTCTCCTCGGTTCCCCTCCTCGGTCCTCCGCTCGCATCTCCTGTGGGCGGGTCTAAGTCTCGAGGAGGGGAACCGAGGATGGGAGTCGAGGAGGGGAAATTTGAGTATTGAGAAGCCTCTATTATTTTTCCGAAATAAGGTCCCATGGACCGGAAGTAGATGGGCGTGACTTCGCCACATAGGCATACTCCCACGCTTTCCCTGTGCTTTCCTTGAGTTGCAATGTCTGCTAAACTGTTCTCCGTGAACACCGTCGCTTTTAAATGTTTGAAAACTCTCCAAGACTGTTCTACACGAGGGTTTAGGTAAGACGCTCCGGATATCTTTATTTAAATTTAAAAAAAAGCATAACAGCAAAACTTTGTCAGCAATTTGAGAGTTGTTAGTAAAAATGATAATGCATGCGTTATTTCCTCGTTGTGGTACGTTCTCAGCATTGGAGCTGCATCCCTTGGTTCAGTGAATTTAAAAGGTCGCAGCTGCCTGACTCTGAAAGACTTCAGCTCAGATGAAATCAGGAGGCTGCTGTGGGTTTCAGGGGATCTGAAACATCGGATCAAGCATGAAAAACAGGTAGCTAACATCAGTCTATAATGTAAACTGCAGTGTCTATTTGTTGAGTGTCTTCAGTTTTACTGCAGCCTCAGGATGCTTCGTTTTAAGGAAGGTTTCTGTCATTTCTATTTCAGTATCTTCCTCTCCTGCAAGGAAAGTCGATTGCCATGATATTTGAAAAGAGAAGCACCAGAACGAGAATGTCCACAGAAACAGGTGTCCTGTTTTTACATATCACAAAAGGTGGTATAAAGACACTGAGCAGTTTTCAAGTGTTACATTAACACTAGAAAATGTTTAGTGTTTTTTTTACTGAAAACAAGGATCTGGTTTATTGAAAGGGCCTCAATTTACAGTGCACGTCTAACCTGAAAGATACATTAACGTCTACAATTGGGATTTTTCCTTTATTTTGAATGAAAGGTTAAAGGAAAATGGTTAATGACAAACATGATCGTGACACATCAACTTAAATATAAGGTACATGCGAGACAAATATTGATAATGGTGGATATAATATGACCTACTATAACGATCAACATAACCTATAACACTCAATCATTAAATAGAATTATTGAGAACAATCTAACAGAAATGTAACTTCTGACACTGAGCAGGGCTGAGACCAGTCATCCGTGTGTTGAACGGTGTAAGTCACTTGTGTATGGACACAAAAGAACTGCTGAAAAGTTATTTTCAGTGCATCCCAGGAACAAAACAGTATGCAACTATTTCAACCCTTGTCTGCTGCCATTCAACCCATGAGGTTGCACTCTTTTCTCAAGTATACTTTTATTGTGTTATAAGCAAGACAACAAAATAAACACAGAATTGTTTTAGCGTGCACAGCAGACATGGAAATGTAATATAGGAACCGAACATGCGGTCTTGTGTCAAATATGTGTATTACTGTGTGCTCTTCTTTGTTGATTGTTTTTAATTATGCTCTGTAAGGTGTCCTTGAGAGCTTTGAAAGGCGCCCATAAATAAAATGCATTATTATTATTATTATTATTATTATTAAATAACCATCACCCACTACTAGCCCCACCCTTAAACTGGAGTTGAAATCATTAAATAAACCAAATTTGTGTGCATGTTTAAAAAACCTTCACTTTGACACAAATTGTTTGATTTGTAATTTGTTCTGAAAATGTCAATGTTCTAATGAAACATGGCAAATGTTGGGGAATTGTTCATACTTATTATAGTCTTGTCTATTCCGTTGACCATTAAGGATATTGATGTTGTCTTAATATCATTACAGGTTTTGCTTTGCTGGGTGGGCACCCCTGTTTCCTCACCTCTCAGGACATCCACCTGGGAGTGAATGAGAGTGGCACCGACACAGCTAGGTAAGTCTTACATCTATGTTTGCTTTTCTGGAAATAAAATGAAAGTAATATCAGTCAGTGGTTTGATGTGGGTTGTAGTGGTCGACTAATATGGGTGTTAAATGGCCAATGTCGATATTTAGAGCGCATGATAGCTGATGACCTATGCATATTGTCGTTATCTGATGAAATATAACGGTTTCAGAATATCAATAATGCTGAACCTAAATAAAAATGTATTATAAATATTATTATTTTTTTGTGCCCTTAACAACAGCATTTATCCACAGAAAGCAGCATCTCTTTGTTTCTGAGATACACAAAACAATTGTAAACATACATGATAAAAAGTAAATAAACAATGTTAGTGTAGTGGCCCTTCTGGTGTTGGCTCAGTGAAATACTGTATTAAAAAATGAATCAGCCTTGTGTGCACAGGCATTGGTCGAAGCCTATTTTCTCAGAATGGCATTAATCAGTAACTTGTAGGTTTATGCACACTACATATTGATCTTTGTATAAGAGAAATCCTAAATAGCATTGTGTGTTTCAGTGTAACTTCACATAGTTGAATGCTTGTGAGTCTTCAAGGTGGTTACAGTCATGTTATGTTTCCACTGCTGTGGCTCATTACTTTAGCGAAATAGGAGTGTTTGTGGCTCTCTATATTAATCACAGCACGCTGGGTACATGCATGCCTTTGTGATTCCTAAACTCTTTCCACAGGGTTCTCTCGGGACTCTGTGATATTGTCTTGGCACGAGTGTACAGCCATTCCACACTGGAGGAGCTGGATAAGGAGGCGTCCATCCCCATCATTAACGGCCTGTCTGACCTCTACCACCCGATCCAGATTCTGGCTGACTTCCTCACTTTACAGGCACTGCAACTCCTACACATACTGCATTTAGAGAGAGAAACTCCCTCTGGAGGGAACGTTAAGCTTTTTGCATTTGCAGACCATTTACATGCATAAAAACCTGTATAACATACTACAGGAAAGGGAAAAGCCCAATAGGGCCCCATTAAACAGAACCATGCCATACCAAACCTTACCAGAAAGAGGCCAAATAGTATAAAGACCCTGGGGGTTTATTGAAAGATCCTCAATTGACATTATACTTGTTTTATGAAAGATACATTCATATTTTTATTTCTGCTTTCCTTTTTGAGTCATTTGAAAAGTTAGCGTTTTCTTCCAGTAAATGTTAATGACATAGTGATTTCTAAATACCACTAATTCTCTTCCAGGAGCACTATGGGTCCCTTCGTGGACTAACAGTGAGCTGGATTGGCGATGGGAACAACGTGCTCCACTCTTTCATGATGACTGCAGCTAAATTAGGAGTTAATCTTAAAATTGCTACACCAAAGGTTTGCATTGTTTTATTGTACAGTTTACCTCTAATTGTACTGCACTTCCACCATTATCATAAACTGACATCGAAATGAAATCAGTAGTGAACAGGAAATCAAAATGTAAAGCTTCTTGGTGATATACGTCAAAAAACATATTTTTGCTAAAACGGCCCAACCACCGCTAAAGCTAAAACTGTATATTTATCCCCAGGGGTATGAGCCTGAGAGGAGTGTTATTCAAGAGGCACAAAGGCTCTCCAAAGAGGTGAGGTTTCCTACTTTAATTGTCATAATTATTATTAACAGACCTTTTGTAAAATGACTTACATTACTTGCCGTTGTCTCAGCATGGGACCCAGCTTGTCCTGACCTCTGACCCGATGGAGGCCGCCCACGGCAGTAATGTGTTGGTCACCGACACCTGGGTCAGCATGGGACAGGAGGAGGAGAAGAAAAAGAGGCTCAAGGACTTTAAGGGTTACCAGATTACAATGCAGGTGAAGGATATAGTCATATTAAGATGTATTTGGCCATTTTTATATCTGTGCCTGTTCTAAAATGGCTCCCTTTTGACAGCTGTAAGCACTACCTAACATCAAAAAACATGCTACTGACTGTACACAAAGCATTTAGCAAATTGTTTGTGCGGTAAAGTCCTCAATACATACTTCATCTGGCTTATCAATCAGCAAGCAAGCTTTGACTAAAATGTGTGTACAGGACATGATTACATTTGTGATTACAGTAATTATGTTGGTCAATAATAATATGTACTACTTTGCAAAGGAGGTTCAAGGTCCTTTATTTTGTCATACGAACATAGCTACAGTGTAGTTATGCTGATGAAAATCTTAGGTCACAGGCTCCTCCAACAGAGCAACACAATAACACAGATAAACAGAAAAATATAGTGCAAGTAAATGGTAGAGTAAATAGTAGAGCAATTTCAAGTTCCTCATAGGAGTAAGACCCATCATTCCCATGTGCCCTAAGTCTAAATATAGTATGATATAACAATGCCTGTAAAACCTGATTATATTATTGATGGTATCATTTTCTGAAAACTATTACAGTCGTATTTTAGTCAATAAGAGTGACTGGATTTGTGTCTGGCAAGTAAATATTTGCATAGAAGCAAACAGGTGAAATGTGTCTTTACTCTATGTTTGCACTGGACCTCTACAGACAGGAAGTGTGGCCAAACCAGACTGGACCTTCCTGCACTGTCTCCCCCGGAAAATGGAGGAGGTGGATGATGAAGTATTCTACTCATCCCGCTCCCTCGTCTTCCCCGAGTCAGAGAATAGAAAGTGGACAATTATGGTGAGAAACCTGATTATTATTATTACTATTACTATGGGTTTCATTTGATCCTGTCAGTATAGTCTGTTCTTCAAGTTTGATTATCTGTCTATTATATATATCGTCACAACTGTCTTCTCTTTCAGGGTCTGATGGTTTCTCTTCTGACCGACTACACTCCACAGATCCCCATGCAAAAGTTTTAACGTCAGGTCATACGGTGTAATTTCACACATGATGGCAATCAGCCTGAACGTGACATGTAACGCATTCCCTCGCAGTCTCCACACATGCTTTATGTAGCAGCTATAAAAATAAGTGTTGTTTTGTTATTTTTTGAGGAAATGCACATAGGTTGTGTGCCTGAACCAAATATATGTATAAATTAATGCCACGCTACCATTGACCACACCACTGCTTTTGTTTAATTTTAGCCTATTAAGTATACCACACAGTTTTTAATGGGTTACAATAAAATCTATTTGTAAACAATTGAAACTAGCTTGTGTATTTGGTTTTAAAAGTAATTCATATTTTACCATTCAGTGTTTAAAATGGACAAAAGCACAGGTATAATAAATTCCCTTAGTGAACATTGTGTTAAGGTTAATGCCCCTCGCCCTTGGTTGAATATTACTTTTCTGAATGTATACTTATGGGCCTTTCACATAATGGGCTTCCCTTTTAAAATGCCAATGTTTAGTTATGTGTAAAGAGTTGTTGACAAAGTACAAATGATACTAAATAATCAAGTTGTAGTTTTTATTTTTCATTATTGAGATCAACAGAAAGATAATTATATGCTAAACTACAATGGTTCCATATTCAAATGCTCTGGCTTGTAAGTGCACACATAAAATAAATGTTAAACCATGAAAACCGCGTTATTTGTTGGTATTACAGAGCTATTAACACTATTTGACTGTTATATTTTACAGCATATTTCTATGAAAGTGCTAGAGACCACCTTTAACGAACTACTTGGCATATTTATGTTTATTTCCACGTGTATTTTATTTTGTCTACCTCCTGTAAAGGTTGTACTTTTTAGACAGAGCGCGCCGTCCAATGGAAGCAGTCTGTAACGACTCTGCTCTCTGATTGGATAACGTAAGTCGACATGCTGACGTGTTGTTGATGTGTACGCACGAGTCTTTGATCCACGTGGGTGGTCCGGCCAGCTCATTCATAAACATCAGCAGCCTGTCATTACAATAAATACAAATGCGTTGATAGATTTTTGTTAACATGACTACAATGCCTACAGTACATGTATGATCGGAACAGGATCAAACTACTTTTAAGTTTTCAACGCAGTGTCATGATTATTACAAATCAGCATAATTTATGCAAAAGCACAAGGAGTAACACACGTTGACAGTGTTGTAAAGATTTGGATTAATGATGACATTAATTTCAGTCAGCTTTGATGACACTTTCGTTTAATGCATCAATATTTATAATCAAAACATACAATATCATATTCTGAAATTGGCCGAACTGCATAATGAGTACTTTTACTTTGTACATTAAGTATATTTTTTGATGCTAATAATAATTGTACTTACTTGTAACAGAGTATTCCTACACTCTGGTACTTCTACTTTACCTAAGTACAAGATCTGAGTACTTTGCTATAATATGAAAACAAGAACATTCTGAGTGTGGACCACCCACACAGTGAAGGAGTCTGAGAGGGGAGTCTGAGGAGGAGGAGGACGCCATTGCTGCAGCTGGCCGTCTGTGATTGAGGACAAACGTGATCAAACTTCACAATGTCGAGGGGGCTTTTCGGACATTATTCACACTCAGCACGCTATTACTGAGTAATACTTTGAAATTGGACCAGTAGGATGGACGGTTTGTCTTTGAGTAGGACACAATGTGGAGCAACAGCGCCAAACCAGAGCAGGTAAAGAGCGCTGTGTTTCGGGGGGACAATGGGAGAAAGTTTCAGCTAACCTAGGCTAACTAACGGTGGTTGTTTTAGCTATAGGCGTTACTACTGACTGTTTACACTTTTACAAAGTCCACATTTGTCAGCAACATTGAGCTATACAGTAACCTCAACTGTTGCTAACTTGTAGGTTAAACTTCATTTGTATCTTACTTTTAACTCTCTAAAAAGTTAACGCCATGGTGAGAGATTTGCACACACATTTGCCTTTATGCTGAAAACACTATTAAATAACTAACGTTGGAAATCTGACCGTTGGTTCGAATTCAAACGCACTTCCATTTGCGGTACGTTGCTAAGCAATAACTGAAACTAATTCACAGGCGGTTTAATAACGTGTATTCTTTTGTTTAGCCTCCAGCCGTTTGATTTTAGTTTCAGCTTGTAAATAATGGGTGAGGTTCACGTTTTCATCCTGTGCTTATCGTCCCGGAGGATGATACAATTTTAAACTAGGAGCAGTACTGCTATCCAGATCCTTCATTTATTTAAAAATAGCAACAACTATGTAAAACCACACATTTTTCGTCCTGCATTGAAATGTTAACAGTTACAAACGTTATTTTCTCCTGTCATTGCTATATTATTTATTTAATTGTTAGAAATTGCCCTTTTGCTGAGCTAATGTTATATTTATTGACACTTACTAGTTAGCCTAGTTAACCTCTAACACATAATCAGAAAAAAAAGGATAGAAATGAATTTAAATTCAGAGTAAACCCACCCAGAAGTAAATAAAGGTGTCAATAGTACCTAACGTTTATTCAGCAATTTACCAAATGATGAAATAAATAATAATAATAACGCATATAGCACTATTGTTGTATTACTTAGGATTTTGACCAACGTAGTTAGTTGCATTGCTATATTTAATTAAGTGTTTTTTGTTTTCCTTATAAACCTATGATTTGTTTTGTAAATTATCCTTGAATCCTTACAAAACTGCAAAGTTACAACAGCAGTCAGATAAATGTAGTGTAGTAAAATGTATCTGGATAATGTTTCCCTTTGAAATGTAGTTGAGTAAAATACTAGAACAAGTATCTCAATTCTGTTTGGCACTGTATTGATGAAATGTACTTAACGTTACAAACATTTTTGGCAGCCAACGGTAGGACGGTATGGCTCTTTAACAATCAAATTTCAATACTTTTTGATGATTTCGTCCTATCCACGTCCTTTCACTTGCAGTCTCCAACCGTCCCTTCACCTGTGTGGTGGCCCAGCCTGTCACCATGAACAACAGTAGGAACTGTACCTCGGTGGGGCATGGGGAGGGTCTGGCTGCCCTGGAGTCCGTCTCCATCGTGACCATCACACTTCTCGCTGGCCTGGGGAACTTCATGATCGTAGCGACCCTCTATCGCAGGCCTTATCTGCTCACACCCAGCAACAAGTTTGTGTTCAGCCTGACCCTGTCCAACCTGTTGCTGTCCATGCTGGTGCTGCCATTCGTGGCAGTGAGCTCGGCAAAGAAGGAGTGGGTGTTTGGGGTGGTGTGGTGTAACTTCACTGCCCTGCTGTACTTACTCATCAGCTCGGCCAGTATGCTCACCCTCGGAGCTATTGCCATTGACAGGTTAGTGCTGGAAATTAAATTCATAGGTAATATTACATTTAATGTTCTGTTGGTTTAGCAATACGAGGTACATCTAAGTAACTAGATCTAGAGTTTACAATATACTGTATATCAGGCCTAGTATTATTATGGTGTACGTTACATTTGGCTAGTTCAGAGCTATGTTATATTAAATCATTGGTTCCCCTAAAGAAGAGATTTGACAATGTCCAATGGGCCTCTTTTTACTTGTTCCCCCCATTTCACTCAAAAGTGAAAGACATACATATATTTTCAATAGTTGGTTACTGTTAGATGCACTTCCAGTTGTCTGGGATTGAAATTGAATACCACTCTGGTTAAATTATATTCTTATTCCTGGTATCCTTAGTAAAGATCTACTGTTAGGCACACACTCCAGTCCTTACTGTTCCCACTGCTTTCCTAAGTACCTAGGTCACCTTGAGGAATTTGTGTTAACAGTGCATGCATTTGTTCACCTGCAAAACCTCCTTTTCTGCTGTGCATGTAGCTATTAACATTATACTTTACAGAGGTCTGGGGTGGTGTTGCAGCTTTTAGCTTCTAATGGCGCTTTTCCACTGCAGGGCCTCGCTCGGCTTAGTACGGTATGGCTAGGCCTCGTTAGGCCTCGCTAGGCCAGGCTCACTTTATGCTGCGTTTCCATTACAGTTTAGGAACTGGGGTAGTATAACTATAGTAACGCAGTGTAGGCGGAGCCGTGACGTCATCTTCAATGTGAAACACAAAACCAACATCAGCTGTTAGCTGTTAGCACTCAGAGCTCACAGCTCCTCATATCTGTTCAGAAACTAGACAAAAGTTAAACAAGTACAAACCACAGACTGTCTGTGTCATGGCGAATACAGTCGCTGGTTTATTTATGTCTGTATAGGCCGTTGTTGTGAGTTTGGACAGTCGGAGCATATACTGCGTTAGCTTAGCCGATCTCTATTCAGAAAACACACATTTTAAAAGGTTTTTCGTCTGTCTGCAGACTTGTCAAACATTAATTCATGGTTTTTACTAACCGGTATCAGTATGTTGTTACTTCGGCATCATTTTGAAACGTGTATTACAATTAAATCACGGTCAAATATGTTCATTTTGTTGTAGTTGCCAGCGATTCTCTCACTAGTTAAGCATACTCAGCCCGGTTGTTGGCCCCGAAAGAACCTCGATTTTGGAGAGCCAGAAAAGTGTGAAAAAGTACCCGCTAGCCGGAACTACGCCTAGTGGAAACGCAACCAAAAACAGGCCGGGCACGCTTAAACCGCGCTGTAGTGGAAATGCGCCATTAATCACACATCGATTTCTGAGCAGCCTCTGTGTCATTTGTACCAAAAGGCTCCTTTGGTTTCCTCTCCTAAAGGTGATCCTCTTTTATCCAAACAGGTACTATGCTGTGCTTTACCCAATGATCTACCCCATGAAGATCACAGGAAACCGGGCAGTCGTCGTCATCGCATACGTGTGGCTACACTCCCTGGTGGGCTGCCTGCCTCCTCTGTTTGGGTGGTCCTCCTTCGAGTTTGACTGCTACAAGTGGACCTGCGTTGCTTCTTGGCACAAAGAGCCCAGCTACACGGCCTTCTGGGTCACCTGGTGCATCCTTCCCCCCTTATTCATCATGCTGGCCTGTTACGGTGTAATCTTCCGTGTTGCACGCATGAAAGCCAGGAAAGTACACTGTGGGACGGTTGTTGTGACCAACGACGGCTCCAATGGAGCTCAGAAGAATGGACGAAAAAACTCAAGCACCTCGACTTCTTCTAATGGGAGCCGGCGGAGCCTGGTGTATGCAGGGAGTCAGTGCAAGGCCTTTGTCACCATCTTAGTAGTCATCGGCACCTTCTTTATATCATGGGGGCCATATGTTGGGGTGGTGTGTACGGAGGCTATTTGGGGACAAGGGAGTGTTTCTCAGGGACTGGAGACTTTGGTAGCGTGGCTCTCTTTCTGCAGCGCAGTGTGCCACCCGCTCATCTACGGTCTGTGGAATAAAACGGTGAGGAAGGAGCTGCTGGGGATGTGTTTTGGAGATCGCTACTACAGGGAGTCATTCGCTACGCGGCATAGAACGTCCCGCCTCTTTAGCATCTCCAACAGAATAACAGGTGGGTTTGTCATGCAATAATTCATTTTATTGATCGATGACAAAATCACAGACCAAAATAACGATGTTTAGTAAGGCAAACATCAAGGACAACACACAGGCTTAACAAATATACAAAAAACGACCTGTAATGTACATTCAAGGTTGTCTGTGAACTGTAAACAGATACACGATAGTGGACGGGTGGATTTATGTGCAAAGAGGGATAGAATAAATGTATTGTATGCTTTTGTACAGCTTGTTTAAAATCTTGCTTGTGTTCCTTTCAGATTTGGGTATGTCGCCCCACCTGACAGCCATGCTTGCGGGCGGAGGGCATCTCCTGGCCCCGGGGAGCAGCACGGGGGACACCGGCTTCAGTTACACTCAGGACTCATGTAAGTTTAACGCACAGAAAAAAAACACTGTGTCCAATTAATTATTTCTGAACTACAATATCCTGTTGTCTAGATTTATATTTAATGCTTAATCCTGTTTGGTCCTCAATCATTGTTGCATTCATTTATATTTGGATAACAGCTAGCCAGTGGTTGTAATATCAAAAGTTGCATCCTCCCTGACACTATGGGACTTGCACGCGTAAACATGATTTTCAAAACTCTATTGCGTCATCCTCCCAAAGCTTTGGTACAGGGCGCCTCACATTCCTGTTTCACAGCTCATGTTTTTAGCTAAGGGTGGCAAGTAATGTCATGTGGAAATACAAAGACACATCACCAAACTCATTTGTGTGACTTTTTATTAAGATGGTTTGTACTTATCGTAGGAGCCAAAATGCTTGTTTTGCCATTGCTTATTATTTCTATTATTATCTTCATTTCTGTTTGTATCACGTTTAATTCTTATTGTTCATCACTGGTCACGTGGGTGTGGTTTATTGGTATTTAGGTCACCTGTTGGATGCCGGTTTTGGGACATGACGTAGGAAGAGGGTGAATTGCTCTGACTTTCTGTTGACCGTGTGGTCTAGTGTTTGTTTGTCGTCTTTATTAAACACTGGACTATAAATGACTACGGACTCTTACATGGAACAAGCAAAGAGCAACTCGTAGGGAGTTTTTGCCGCTATACTTATGCAGCTTTTCCCTTCAATTGATCTTTTAATTAACCCTCTCTGTTCACCTTGTTTGTGTCCGTGATGATTCCCTGCAGGTACAGACGTGATGCTGCTGGATAACTTCTCCACAGACGGGTCCTCCCAACTACAGAACCCCTGCAATCCGTCCGGGAAGAGGAGGAGCTCCGTCACTTTTGAAGACCAAGTGGAGCAGGCCAAAGGTATCCCTAATTTTGGGGAATGGAGTTGACTTCATACTTATTGAGGGTTTTTACACTTAAAAAAAATACAGGACGAGACCATGTCCCGCAGTAGAGCAGGCAGCAGTCTAACACATCTGTCACTCAAAGCAAGCATGACCCAAATAATGCATAACTTTACACCTTGATCAAATGTAAACGAGTGAGCTATAGTTCAATCAGGAGAGACTTAGTTTGTAGTTGATAACATCTTTATTGCCGTATGCACAATAGCGTTTTGGAGATTAGACCCCATCATACTGTGATGAAGGGGGAGGAGAAGCCGACTAGAAAGAGAAACCCCCCGGGGTCTAGACACTGGTGGTGGTGAGTACTAAAGGGAAATAAAAATCCGGAGTGATGAGGGTTCTTCTGGGCTATCCTGCCTTGGATCTGAAATAACTGGAGGTGGAGGAGGGTTGCATCAATTCTCCTGAACGATGCTGGCAGGGGAGAGAAAGAGCAGAATTAAACGTTTGCCGGGTGTGCTGTGATTGGCTGTGGGGATGAGACGCAACCGATTGGTTTAGCTGGGGTAAGTTGCGCCTTTGCTTATTGAGAAAAAAGGCGAGTGAGTGAGAATTGTGAATGAGAGCGTGGGAACGAGTCTTCCTGAAAGAACTTGCGCTGAGCTTCATTCAAATTCACCTCTTGTGTAGTTTTCATTAGGGATGCCGATCGCGAGAGCCGATCGCATGACGTAAAATACATGACACTTTTCTCTGTGCGCGTCAAAACAAGCTCGCCAAAATGGCTTCACCGGTCTGGCAGTATTTTAAGGTGTCCAAAAATGACAATAAAATAGCGGTATGCAACGTATGTGAAGCAGAAATCCTGCAGCTCCACCCGCTGTGACGGACCGGTGAGCGGAGCGAAACACACTAAGAGTTAGACCTTACGCACTTAGCTATTTTATCTCCCTCTGGAACAAACTAAACTAGTTATAAATATGTTTATTCTGCACTGTCGTGTCACTCATTACTGCATCAGTGAGCTGCATGAGATGCTGTCAGGAGAGAGAGGGGGAGAGAGCGCTTCCACTAATCTCTCCCGTGTTATTATCCAAAGTTAATGTAAATTTGAATAATGCACATCATTTGAATGTAATAATTGTGTTGGTTGTTGTTTGTGGAAGCGCCAGTGAATGAGCATTAACTGAGTTTTAAACATCACTTTAAATGGAAGATCCCCATAGGCCCCGCCCACTCGATCGGGTCGGCGATCGGAGCATCCCTAATTTTCATGTTGGCCATTTTTGGAGGAATTACTCTTTTGTAGCCATTCAATGAACAGCAGTTTTTGGCTCTTCCACATTTAGCGAAATGTTATCGTAATTCCAATATGACCTAGTGCAATATTTAAATCGCAGAAAGCACAAGGTTTGTTGAAAGGCTGAATATGAGATATTGTTGCGCTGCACAGATATAGCCTACAAAACAGTGTTTTACAGATTAAACAAACAAATTGTTAAAAATCCTGTTAGTGGGCGAGAGCCTGAATTGCTTTTCCGGTTGAAACGTTACGTTATGGTCAGAAAGTTACAAAACACTGTTGACTGTACCATTTGTGTAATGGTTTCTGCATTTTTCTCCTCAGCTGAAAACAACAACACATCCTCAGTTCAAATCCACACACAGGAACACGAATCTCTCGACAACTTCGCATCATGTTTGGCGATGGCCATAGAGAGCGACGCTAAGCTCACCATGTTCGGCGAGGGTCTGCCTTTACCGGGGGGACTGTTTACGACTAGGGCAGCACCGAGACCCAGATACCTGGACGGTCAGAGACTAAGGCTGGAAAGTATCGACGAAGGGATCGTTAAAGATGACAGAGATGAAGAAGAGCAGGACATGGAGGAAAAACTGGCCTGAACACAGCAGGTCTGTACATTTGTTTAAACACGTTTATAGACTGCGAGCTGTGGTGCATTTGATGAAGTCTGATCTCTCTACATATGGGTACTCAATACTTGAAATGATTAGTGAAGAGCACGGTATTCATTCCACTACGCTGGACCAATTACACACCAGCAGTGTCTTTGCAAGCTTTGTTATGATTCATGTAATCAAATAGGAAGCCTTTTACTACTGTAACCGTAATGATCCGATTGCTGTAGTGATCTTTATTCTATGTTTCTAGTGAAGTCTAAAATCCAGCGTACTTTTCTATTATTCTTATTTGTCGTCTGCTGCCACACAATTTGCAGCGTCAATATGAAATACACACAAAAAATAATAATGATATGTTTGTGATCGTAAGGGCTGTATCCGAATATTCGTTCGTTGGAGTACTATTCGGGTTTCAATTTCGTTATTCGTATTATTTTTTTAATTGAATTTATTGAAATCTCCAATATCAACGTAAGAGCTTGTGCCTCTTCGGGGGGTGCTAACACCTAACCGTTTACTTTCTCCGTCTTTATATGTAGATCTCCGTTAATCTCCGTCACGTTGTTTCCATAGCAACAACAACCGAATATCCGGAACAGCCCTAATGATCGTAAACATTGGTTCATTGTCACACATTCTCGTGGCTTACTAGGACATTGTTCAAAATGAGGAACCCCTGAGCTTTTCCAACGATGAGTCTAAAAGTCGGGTGGGAAAAAGGCTTCATAGCGTGGATTGTAAACAAAGCTGCCTGTAGATGTTGACTGAAGTCTTTCCAGGGGCTATTTTAACTTCTACCCCAATGGATGCTAGGACAACATCCCAATCTTGACCCTGATAGGAGTTAATGTGTATAGGAAATGCATGTTTAAAGGTAAACTGTGTATTTGAATTCCTTATAAGAAAACCTCAACCGTGAAAAAGTGTGTATGTGTTGCTCAGGCCTGATGGTATCTGCAGTGAGTATAATTAGAAAGTCCTGGCATTTCATGATTATTTGTTAAGTTATTGCACTTGAACATGCAGCGTGTGCTTGTTCTCATAGAAACCACTCAACCAGTAAAGGCAATTATTACTGTGTGTTCAGTCGTTTTGGCTCACTGCCCGAGGTAGGGCCCGAGCTGTGATGTAGTGAACAGGACATTAGGTAACAATCAGATGTAATCATTTAGAAAAGACTGTTATATTAATGCACAAGCAAAGTCCCACATTTCATTATATTATGCTTATTGAGAAGCATACACGGACCATATCAGAAATAAATCCCTGTTTATCTTTTAAATCAAAATGAAATGTCTGAGAAACTGGTCTTAATCTTCACAATGTGTCTTAGTTCATATTAGTTGGTACATGTGGTGTACCTCAGATATCCTCCATTTGTAAGGAGCGCTTCAGTCTTACCTCGTATCTTTGTATTATATTTGAACGGTACTATACACCTGAGAAGTGATGTAACCTTTTGATTTTCACTATACAGTAAGTATTAAAACAAATATGTGCATCAAAGTTTTGTATCAAAATTCTTATATTAAAACTTTTTTACAGAAAATTGTCTGAACCATTATTATATGTTTTGTTTGTGTTGCTGTGAAGAGGAATTTTACAACAGCGACCAAAACAACACTCGCCTGCAATATTTAACAAACTGGGGCTGTCACTCATTAAAGGTCATCCATCATGTGGCCTCAGGGAGGAGTGTGGCGCGTTGTGTCCCTGAGACACTTCACCCCAAACTGCTCCTGTGGGGATTGCCCACAGTATTGAGTATGTAAGTCGCTTTGGATAAAAGCGTCTAACATGTAATGTAATCATGTCCAGTGTTTCCCCTAGGTTTACTGCCTTGGCAGGGTACTGCTCGGGTACCCGAATTTTTATTTATTTTTTTGAATTTTTGTTGTCCTCTGGAGCAGAGAGAGGAGCTGTGGATTATTGTTATTGATATCGTACAGTAACAAAGTATTTGTACATTAAAAAGTAATACAGTACAGTGTTACACTGTACTGTATTCCCTTCTTATCATGTAGCCTACACTTCTTCCTTTCATTGATACATTTAAATGTAGCGCCGCCCTTCAGAAACAGAGCGGAGGGAGAATGTGAATACGCAAAGCAGTGGACACTGAAACATGCACATACATTGGATAAATAACATAGGCGTTTAGTTTATTTAATAAAATAGCACATGTTCAATGTGAAAAGTGACCGTAGATAGATTACTTCAGTTGCAATTTGGTGCTATATATATATATATATATTTTAATTAAAAACACCTTGAATTTCAGGCGGGGCTCCGTTGGCGTGTCTATCAAATCTGGATCAGCTCCGTTGTAGCCCCGTTTTTAGAGATTTGGGTACGGAGGAAAAGAGAGAGGGTGGGGGGTCCGACACACAGACTGACGGACAACTTCTCACTTCAAAAAATGTTTAAGAAATCTAGACCGCAAAATAATTAAACAAGCGAGTGCCTGTTTTTCCCATGGATGTACAATAAGAACTGGATACAGCGTCGGAGGCGGGGTCTCGTTCTTTCCTATGAGCTGCTCAGCCGTCAAAGCTTGAAAGTATTTGGTACGGCTCTAATAATGACCAACAGTCGTATCTGAAGAATAAAAGATGCTCTTTGCTGTCTAATGTCGCTCATGTTGTTGTTGTTTTTTCACAGTCGTCTTAAACTTATATCTTCCAGACATCTTTGAGATGCCATGGTTTTATTTTATTCTCCAAATTCTATAAAAGATTATAATGTATTAACATGTCCCCTTCAGGGAGAAGAACCACGGCTTCTTTTTCTTTCTCTTCAACAATAAAATGAAAGCATTCTCCAAGTATATTTTTACTTAAAGTCCTTGTTTACATGCGTAACTGCCGGAGCAGCACATCAACAATTCTTAGCTTTGCGCTACAAATTCAAAATGTCACACGTTAACACTGATCAAAGCTCACTTTCTCAACAAAATAATATTGCACTTAACATCCTTGCACTCCAGCCGCCATTATTCTCACACTTAATATATATATATACTGACGTCCTTTGCCTCTTGCATTCACACAGATGTAGATTATCCTCATACAGAAACATCAGTAAGAAAGTCATAAAAAAAACACAAGGGGGCCTAGAAATTACACTAGTTTTCAAAAGGAAGTATTCTACACTATACTTGTACAAATCTCAGGGGTTTTTTTTTCATGTGCTATACAGCAAGAAGAAATAGTTTTTTTCTTTCAGTTTAAAATGCCCGCAGGCTACTGCTCTTCCTCATTCTCCTGTCCCGAACCCTCGGAGCGATCCCCTTCTAGTCGATCTGAAGACAAACAAAGCAAGATTTCAAAGAAGGGGACAGGAAACGACATTAATTGGTGAGAATACTTAAACCATTTGCACGATGAAATAAATGTGAGAGAGTGTGTTTGTACCTGATCTGATGTGATTAAGGGAGGCCAACATTCGGAGCATGAAAGAAGCCGGGACTGTGATTGTGTTCCTGGTTTCCTCTAGCATCAGCTCATTTCGAGTGATTACCTATAGAAAAAAATAGGAGAAATTAAAAAGACAGAGGGAATGTGAATAATCTGACAAACGGGAGGAAGGTTTAAAAAGACAAAGTACCCTCATCTGAACAAAAAACTCCAAACATCAGCTCAAATCCACCTCATGTATAAGATATAAAACCCTGTAATTAACTCTGTTCATAGAGAGGCGAAGTCCCTCCCTTTCCGGGGGAGCTCCATGGGACCTTATTTCGGAAAAAGTATGTATTGAAGTCAATGGAGAGAGAAAGATTATCTTTCGATCCCGTTTGAATTGTGCCACAAATTACACATATGATGTTTGTCAATTTAAAAGATAGTTTTGCAAGTCAACAAAATGTAAATGCGTCGTAAAACTGTGAAGTAACACATTTTTGTGTGAAACCGCTCAATGAACTACATGTCCCGTCTCGCACCACACACCCAGACGGCCGTCACGTTCGAACATTTCACTTCTTTCTTTCAGAATGAGGCGGAAAGTATTAAAAGAGGTGAAAATCACTCCAAGTCTGGGCACGTTGAGAGCTGCACACACACAAGGGGAGTTAGTCGGTTCCGTGAGAGCCAGCATGCGGGACCGGGATTCTGGGATTTGTAGTCTTTCTAGTTGCGTATTTTTCATAGTCTTATATTTCAACAGTTTTACGACAAACTGTGACTTTTTGACATGGAAATAATTTTTTAGGATTGACAAACATCATATGTGTAATTCGTGGCACAATTCAAACGGGATCGAAAGATAATCTTTCTCTCTCCATTGACTTCAATACATAATTTTTCGGAAATAAGGTCCCATGGAGGTCCCCGGAAAGGGAGGGACTTCGTCTCTCTGTAGTCAGTTTCAGGACTCAGCGTGTGTTGACGCTTGCCGGCGGGCGTGTCTGACACTCGACCAACAACATGAATCTCCCGCCCCAGACACACAAGCACGCGGTTTGATTGGCTAGAGCTTGTACTGGCATATGATTCGATTGGCTGACGCCTCCGTCGAGGCGTCAAAAGTTGAACATTGCTCAACTTTTGAAGCGAGCAACGCCAGCAACGCTCCACGTCGCTTCCCAAAATGCAGTTCGGCTAAAAGTGACGTCACCCCATTCAAAGTGAATGGGCAGAAGCGTTGGAAGCTTCAACGCACGCCGCTGTGTGGACGGGCCATTAGGTGACACCAGCAATTGAAACAGGAACACAATCCATTTATCGGCAACTTAAACCATAAATAACATGTTAATAAGGTCACAAATGAACATGTTATATATGGTTTGTTGCACTTGTAGGTTACAAAAGTGCAACAGGATTTAATAGGGTAGAAAAAGCACACCTTAACCGACATAAATGTACACTTCCTGCTGTGCGGACTGAGGCTGGAAAAAGGAGTCTTTTTCATTATGGTCCTTGGTTTTGGAATGACCTTCAATCACGCCTCAAACTGACGGCACTTGTCTCAATAGCATGTTTTTAAATTGAAGTTGTCTGAAGTCCTTACCACCAGCTGCTCTCGCAGTAATTAGTAGCACCTTTCTTACTGTCCTAGTGTGCACAATGTAGTGACTGCTTTTTCGTCTTTTGTTTTCTTGGTTATGTTCTCTGTATTTTATATGTTTGTGTTATGTGTAACGTTGCTGCCTTCTTGGCCAGGTCAGCATTGCAAATTAGATTTTATCTCAATGTTTTTATCTGGTTAAATAAAGGTTAAATAAAAATAAATAAAACTTCCATTATGTCGCTTAACTATTTGAAATCCTCTCTTTTTGAACACGAGGGAATATATAATATTGTTTATGAGCAGATCAGCATTAAACAATCGATCCACGGTCATACCTCATTAGCGAGGATTCTGTTGAAAGACGCCGCCTGCTCCCGTGGCGACCAAATCTTGATATCGTAGTCAATCCCCGAAGAAGCCAGAACTGAAACACACGGAGAATCACCGTTACACACTTAAACTCCCCGTGGGATAGTCTTCAAACAGCGTTCAATACTCATGTCACTTAGGATCATTTCTGTATTACATCGACATTTTGATCAATAATAAATACGAATAAATAACTCAATAATTCCCAATACTACTACACCACTGTATAGATTGTAATATGAAATGCTCACCTTTTTATTATTGTTTTATAATGTGCACATGTTTGACCTTCTTATGTTTATTATTTGATTTTATTCTAAAACAATGATAATAATGATAATCTTGTATATAGCATGTTTCAAGCAGAGTTACAAAGTGCCTTCACAAAATGAGAGTAAATCAAATGTAATGTAATAAAAAATATACATAAAAATCCCATGTTTTAGAAATGGGTTTAAGTAATTATGTTTGCAGCCCTCATCGCCTTAATCTGAATTAGATGGAGCAGCTGTTACAAAACCCAATTCCCTGGCAGGATCAATGAAGTGTTCAGATTCTGTTTTTGAGTGGGGGTGCGGGTGGACTCACTGGGGTCGTAGGGGTGCGGCTGCAGGCAGTTCACCACGTGGTTGTCGGCCTCCAGCAGCATGAGGTGCTCCCCTGTGTGTCGGTCCCAGATGAAGATGTGGCCGCAGTCTGAGCCGCTCATCACAAAGTTGTCGCCCCAAAAACAAGACTCCTTTATCTGGACCACACAGAAAATATTTGTTTGCATTATTGTGTCACTCTGGTGTTTCAAATGTCCCTATTATACTGTTTTTCATCAATATATTATAGGTCTCAGATATATATAAAACATGTCTCTGGCTCCAAACACCAAACAGATCATTGCAGCATTACCCATAATCCCCTCTGTTTCAGCCCTGTTTCAAAAGTGCTGATTCTCTGTCTGTTACTTTAGATGAAAATAAGGAGCCCCTCCCCACGCCCCTCTGAGAGACATTTGGTTAAAAAGAACACAATGGTGCTCTAGAAGGAGATTCAGGTGATAAGGGGGGGGGGGGGGGGGGGGGGGGGGGGGGGGGGTTACCTTGGTTGCTGATTGGCTAATGGTTACACAAGCCAAACAAACGTTATGACATCATAAAGTGGCCAAAATCTGATCCGCTCATTTTCAGACAGGTTTTTATATAAATGGATCAGGACAAAAAGAGAGAATCTTTGTTCCTGAAACTTTCAGTCTCTTTCCGCAGAGGGGACACATGTTGATGTAGAAGAGACGTGAAGAAGTGGATTTTGCTCAATAGGTGACCTTTAAAGGAGTTAGTTCTGATTCACTAAAGTCCCATTAAAACACAAACAAACTGTCCTCAAGGGAGCCATTCAGCCCAGCTGTTGTTTATAAATGTAAAGTAATATAAACTGTCCTTTTGTTCGTTTACATTTGTGTTTGTGTACAATTGTCATATTCATTCTTGAGATATGGCAAAAAACAAACAAATCAAGTTAATTCAAGAAATTATTTTAAGGCCGTCAGACAACCCAAAAACATAGAGCTTGTTGTTTTTTTGGACGGATTGAGACTAGCCGTTTCCCTGTTTCCTGTCCATGCTAAGCTTAGAGTCTCCTGACCTCAGCGTTAACCCACACACAGGACTGAATGCGAGGTCAAAGCAGTACCATTGTCCTGGAGTTGCGGTGGCCTTTGTAGACCTGCTTGACCGAGGGTCTCCTGATATTCTGGGTCTCGCTCTCCTCCATCTCCCGTCGTTCTTTCCTCCTGCGGAAAAGCTCCTGGATACGAGCGGCTGCTGAGCGTCTGGGAAACACAAGAAAAACAGCATGTGATAATGATGTTTCCAGAAAAACAAAAACACAGGAACACATGCGGTCTCTTATGATTACGAGCCCCATGCGTTGATACTTACTTATTTGATTATAGAAAATGTACAAACCCCAAGCCAGGAAGCAGACACTTTCAAGGCAGAACACATGATGACTGAATTAGGCTCTTAAAGGTAGGGTAGGTGAGAATGGAGAAAGCAGCTCGAGTGCGCTAGAATTTGAAAGTAGACAACCGGAAAAAATCTGCCCCTTCCTTCAGACGTCCTTACAGAGCCCCTCCTCCAGCACACAAGTATGTATAATTTATGTATTTATTGTCAAAGCATTTAATGAATTCATTGCTATCGGGAATGACCTACCCCACCTTTAATGTTGTGGTGCAAAGCCTTCTCCATGAACTACATGAAAGTAGTCACCAATTCTGGGTCATTATTAGTTTAAAAAACGCTCCTCTGAGGAAATCAAACCTTTACATTTGTTCAGATCTTGCCATCATGCTTCTTATTCCAACGCTCTTTATGAAACAATCTTCAAAATGCTGCAGTGATGCTGCTACTCATGTGTGTGTCCAACCCAGTCTCACGGCATTTCGTGTTCACCAACACGATTTTTAATCTATTGATTCGTGTTCACCAACACGATTTGCCCCTTTTTTTCGTGTTGCACAGCACGATTTTAAAAGCAATGTATTTCTACTGGTAATGTGTTTCGTGCCTGCAGCACGTCTTTTTCTCCGGTCGGGTCGTGGAAGACCGGAAGCTGTGTGGTTCATAAAAACATGTTCTTACTCAATATCAAGCCACAGTTATTGCTTTTATTTTAAATCGTATAATTTCGGACTTTTGTTGCCGTCTGTGAGGAAAATAAATGGGGCTCAGAGCCTCAGGATACGGAAATCTGTATTTTTAAATATTTGTTTCCTTCTAATTCGATATTCTTTTCAAAATAACACACTGTTATTTACTCACCAATAACACACAATTATCCTTGCTTTTATTTATTGGTTTAATTCCATAATCTCGGGCTTTTTTGGCGTCCGTCAGGAACTGAATTTCAAAATAAAAATAACCGGAAACAGACGTAGGCCTATAAGGGACATTTCGAGCATCATTGCGATTGTGAACATTTCTGAGTTTAGGATGGCCGAAGACACTACACTACCCATAATCCCCAGCTATCGTTTAGGACTACAGTCCCGTAAGGTTACGCAGAGCGTCAAACAGCTGTGTGAAATGGAACGAAACCACGCCAGACTATCCAAAACTGGAATCGAACGCCCCCCCAGAACTACACATGCTGGCTATTGTGTTTCGCAAAATGTTCTATGGGACGTCTCTACTGAACGTTTTCGTTGTTCCCACAATTAGAAGTTGCCAGTATTAAACACATTGGTGTTATCAAATGTAAAACATATCATTAATAAATGGGTGAAAATCGCTTGTGTCCATAATGCGCAGCATTAATATATACCCACATGACAGCTCATTGATACTTTGTAATTCTACTCCACTACAATTCAGAGGTTAACCTGGTATTTTTACTCCACTACACTTATTTGAGTTACTTTGCAGATTCTGATTAATGATGTGAAATATAAACAACCCTTAAATCAGACTTTAGTTACACCTGAGTAAAATTCAGGTAAGGTGATTGTCAAGTGCCAACAATCAGGAGAGATATTTGATAGTTGGTGCTTGAGAAGACTAAACATGTATCTGCAATTGACATGAATGGAAACGAGTAATAAAGTATATTCATTACTCGTTATTCTCTTCTAATAGTTAATTAAAGACTGTATATTATGGCTATTTTGCACATCCCTTTCTAGATTTTCAAAGGTGTATTGACATATCATATACACAACTACGGTGTAGTTATGCAATGAATTAAACACTTGGGTCACAGGTTCCTCAACAGTGCATTACAAGACATCTATCAATATGTGTGTACCTCCACCATTAAACTGTCATATTCTGCACATTTCTTATTCTATCTACATACATAAGAGTATAATTCATATGTATAATATCAGTTAAAATAAGTGCTTCAACATAGTTAACATTGCAGGAAAGCAATATATTAGACGTTAAGTACTTTGTCAGGCTTAATATTTATCTGTAGATAGATACCCCCAAAGTTTTTTTCTTATTTAAAAGAAGACCTTAATCTGTTATTTAATGTTTAAATAAAGGTTAATTCGTTTTTCTGTGTTGCACCTCCTCCTATTAATATCTTTGTACATTCTGCACTAAACTGTTTTATTGTAGAGATCACTTATAGTATCTTCTTGATTTTTTATATTCTATATTATACTTTCCCCCTATGAAAGTATGTACTCTTAATATTTTTTTAATCAAATAAAACACAATAATTGAATAACGTGCTTTAACCACTAGGCGGTGCACACAAGGTACACACAGCCATAATAACTTTGTATTATTAGTGTAGGACACCGTATGTACAACATCTGAAGATGTGTAGTTTTATTCATGCTTTCACATAATTTTACAGCATATTGCTATACTATTTCAGACTCAGTATTTACATTCTTACATTCAAAGAAAATCAGTAATATCTTTAAAAACTACAGTCCTTTTATATCAGCTGTGCACCGTTAGTAAATATAACCTATCTGTGAATTAGATCAAATGTAAAAGTCAGCCGAATTAGTGTTGATACTGCAAGGAGACGTATTGTGTGAAGAGAAATTGAAGATGTTGTTTAATTGTTGAATATATTTATGATCCACGTCAAGTATTCAGTTTCGGCGGCATTTTCTCAGTTTTTCCAAAGGTCTTCTCATCAGGGCTCTATAAATAAAGAACTACGGCAGATCTGTAATATTTAATGCAGCCGAACCGTGTATTACAATGCCGTTATGTGATGACTTTCAAAGAGAAAAGCAAGAGCACTCGGAATTAAGTATTATTTTATTCTTTTAAAATGTTTTCCGGATTTCATATCATATAAACACCAAATCCCAGCATGCATTGCGGCTAAAACATCCAATAAGCGAGCTTAAAACCATAGCTGAGGATCTTGGGTAATCGCTCGAAATGCCTACGTCTGTTTCCGGTTATTTTTATTTTGAAATTCAGTTCCTGACTGACGCCAAAAAAAAAAAAGAGATTATGGAATTAAACCAATAAATAAAAGCAAGGATAATTGTGTGTTATTGGTGATTAAATAACAGTGTGTTATTTTGAGAAGAATAACAAATTAGAAGGAAAAAAAGATTTAAAAAATACAGATTTCAGTATCCTGAGGCTCTGAGCCCCATTTATTTTCCTCACAGACGGCAACAAAAGTCCGAAATTATACGATTTCAAATAAAAGCAATAACTGTGGCTTGATATTGAATAAGAACATGTTTTTATGAACCACACAGCTTCCGGTCTTCCTCGACCCGACCGGAGAAAAAGACGTGCTGCAGGCAGTAGAAATACATTGCTTTTAAAATCGTGCTGTGCAACACGAAAAAAAGGGGCAAATCGTGTTGGTGAACACGAATCAATAGATTAAAAATCATGTTGGTGAACACGAAATGCCGTGAGACTGGGTTGGTGTGTCAGTACTCACATGCACATCACTCTGTGTGTTAGTTTTTCGTGAGTGAAAGGACCAAACCAAGACAAATCCCCTTTATCTTCATCATGTTGTGCTGTTGAGATTTTAAGCTCTGCTGCATGTGACACACCTGACAGGTTAGATGCTTTTAGTGCAAACACTTTACCTGATCATCCTATCTCCTACTGCAGATCCTCTGGAATTTAATCTATATTAGTAGAAGGCATCACAAAATAATCAGAATACCCACCTTCTAAATTAAACAAAAGCAATGAGTTAATAACGTGAATTCAAAAGTACATTTTCTTGTTGTCAGTGAATAGAGTGGTGCAGGAATGAGTCTTAAAACCCGGGTATAAGTTAGCATTTTAGCACGTCTTTTTAGCCGTCTTGAACAGTCCGAATGAGTTTTTGGTTAGATTCTTGAAATACGATTTTACAAGATTTTTCCGTTTTGTTCTCGGAATAAAAACACATGAAATAACACGCGAATGATTGTCTGAAGCCATGTGTTGTAAAAAGGTTGCGAACAAGTGACAATAAGACTACTAAACGTCATCATGCTGACCATTAGCCACCGTTAGCTTAGCCACGGTGACGAGTCGTCATGCGACCGTGATGTAGTTCTTTTATGGTTAAATTTGACTTCTGGTTGATTGCATTTATGCTTCAATTATTATAAAGTGCTGTTAATATATTGAGATTATCACAACTCCACCTCTCAAAGACTGCAACAACTACTATTTTAGAAATACTTATGGCTCTTTCAATACTTATCACATCACCCCAGTCCTCAAAGACCTCCACTGGCTTCCTGTCTCCCATCGCATCAACTACAAAATTCTGGCCCTCACTTACAAAGCGCTCCACCATCTGGCCCCCCCTTATCTCACACACCTTCTCACTCCTTATCAACCCCCACAGTCCCTCAGATCCACCGCAGCCGGACTCCTATCCATTCCCACATCCACTCTGCAGCTTTGGGGACAGAGCCTTCTCAGTGGCAGCTCCTAGGCTCTGGAATTCCCTCCCCCAAGATCTCCGTGACTCTGAGTCCCTCACAGTCTTTCAGTCCCGCCTCTAAACACATCTTTTCAACTCTGTCTACCCATAAGCCCCCCCCCCTCTCAATCAACTTCCTCTTGACTGCCTTTTTATTTTTTACTTACTTGTTTGCCAGTCCTTGTTTGTCTACCCTCCCTCATACTGTAAAGCGTCTTTGAGTTATGAAAAGCGCTATATAAATAAAATGCATCATAATCATCTTTTACTAATATACATTTAGACTAAGTGTAAATATGCACATTGACATTGATCTCGTTGCACTGTCATCGCTACCACCTCTGCTTTTACCTTTACTCTTATTTATTTATTGTGTCTATTTTTTACTGCAGTGAGAGTTGCCAAAGAAATATCGTTGTACTTTGTATGATGACAATACAGATAGATTATATTCTATTCTATTGCTCCCTGCAGAATTACATTATCCAAAGGAAAAATCCCATTGTCTTTTTGTCGGGCGATAGTTTATTTGTTTATAGTGTCGTGGACCGTCCCCATTGATCAACTGTCACAAAAAACAGTAAATGAGGCAGCTTTAGCCAACATTGCTAATTTCCAGCTGTTGGCCAGATGGTAATAGACACCCTTAAAATCACAATATATCAACAGCATTAGTTATAAAAAAAGGATGATAGACAAGTAGGCGAAAGGATATGCAAACTTCCGAGTCAGCCTACAGAAAAACCTCATCCCTGCACCACTCTATAGACAGATTGTTGCGGCGTACCTCTGGCCCTGACCCCTGAACCTGGTGGACGGGATGAGGATGGGGTCGTCGTCGCTGTCGTCAGAGTCCTGGTGCGGCCGTGCCGCCTGACTCTGGCCCTCCTCGCCCCCCTCCTCCCCTCGGGGCTCCGCTCTCCTGCAGCCCCCCGTCCTGTCCTCCGTGCCCACAGGCGGACTCCTCTCCGCCCCTGAAGGAGCCACGGTTTCCCCCTGAGAGGATCCAGCAGCAGCAGCCTGGGCCCCGGAGCAGGAGGCCCCGCTCGGAGGCTCAGAGGAGGAGGCGGCCGCGACACTCTGCTGCCCCGAGGACAGAGAGGGAGCTGAAATACAACCAGAATGAAGTTTAATGCCAAGTACACAGACACACACAAACACAACACGGCACGTAACAGCTACACCTACAAGGATTTAGCTGGAGTGTATCATAGAGTATACAAATATACCTTTAGATGAATTGCATTTTTAAACACAGGGTTTCGCCACAAAATGCAGTTGTAGAGCCTTTACTCTACATGCAAACAAATGCATATGAATTACATTGTAATCTAGGAGTAAATATAGAAGTATTGAAAAAAACGACTTTCTAAATATTCTTAGATACAAATAAATGTTTACATTAAGAATATGACAAAGACGTCTGTGTTTTCTAAATTGGGGTTTTCTATTTCTTTGTGTTTTTAAATGTTTTTACATCATGTTCGAGGGTTTTCAGTCTGTGGCTATAAGTATGGTTTTATTGTCTCGTGCTTTTACATTAGTTTCTTTTTGCCTAAATGTAAATGGTAAATGGACTGTACTTATATAGCGCTTTATCCAGTCTTTACGACCCCTCAAAGCGCTTTACATGCTACATGTCGTTCACCCATTCATACAGAGCAGTGTATGTTACTCTAGGACCTAACATTCACACCGTTGGCCATGCCATCAGGAGCAACTCAGGGTTAAGTATCTTGCCCAAGGATACATCGACATGTTGGCTGCACGGGCTGGGATCGAACCCACAACCTTCTGGTTGAACGACGACCGCATTTCCTCGCAGCCACAGTCGCTATATATGCTGCTTTTATATATATGTATTAATGTACAGCACTTTGGTCAACTCTGTTGTTTTTAAATGGGCTATAGATAAAGTTGGATTGGAAATGACTGTGTGCAGTATCAAACATTTTGAAAGGGAAAGTGACACTTTTTAAAAGAGATGTGCAACATTTAAAGGGCAACTGCAAGTAGGACTTTGAATACAAGTTGTTGAATGCTTGTAATATTTATACATGAATATAAGGACTCACTTTGCTCTGAGGCTGAGCTCTCCGTGGACAGACCCTCTCGGTTCACTGCAGGAACAGATTCAGATCTTTTGGGACCCCCGCTGCCCATAGAGCTCGATGTGCTACTGCTCCTGTGAGGGAGATACAAACAGTTACAAAGAGGATCTCAAGCCACGGTGTTTTCTTACTTCTTCCTCAGTAGGAAGTGGCAATAAGAGAACATCAGATATCAACTCATTCCTGCAGTTTGACCACTCTGGCTCTAGAGGGCCCATTATGATATGTTTCAGGAAGAAGGAGCTACTACGGTAACAACATAAACATTTGTTCAGAAATGATAATTTAGTGCTAAAATGAATAAACTTCCATGACAATTCAATAAAGTCAGACTGAAGCATCCTTTGTGCACCAGTCAATCCTCACGGTAAACACAGAGCTGATCCCAGATCTAATGCACGCTAAAGGGTCTTTGAACAGGTTTTCTCTCAGTGATTAATAATAATACATTTCATTTCAAAGATGCTTTACAGTGGTGACAAAACGAGATCAAATAGAATTAAAAATATTAAAACGGTAACACAACATAATCCACAAATTAAAAGCCAGTCTGAAGAGGTGTGTTTTGAAAGAGGGGGGGTCGGTGCAGTCTCTGATGTGTTGTGGAAGGGAGTTCCAGAGGGTGGGGGCAGCGATGGAGAAGGCTGTTGTGCCGTTAAATGCTTGTTGTTCATGTGTTGTTACACATGGAGCTGCTGTGATGCTAGTCAAATTTCAGACTTGATCTGACCATTAAAGTATTATCGTATCGTATCGTCAAATAAAGCACACAATAAATGTGTTAAAGGGGAGAATAAGAAACGATGCGACCCCTCACCACTCATCAGTGAAGTCCAGCTTAATGGTGCTGGTGGTGGTTCCCTCGGAGCTGTAGTGCAGGCTGAGGACGGGCTCTGCTGCGCTGGGCCGACTTGTGCTGCTCAGGGTGGAGGTGGAAGAGGAGGTGATGGAGGAGGAGGTGATGGAGGAGGAGGTTGTGGAGGTGGTGGAGGTAGTGGGAGCGTTAACCGGTGCAGAAACAGGTTGATCAGGAGGCGAACCTGCAGCTTCTGTTGCTCCTGAGAGAGAAACACAGGCGATACAAGCAACAAGGTTTTTCACAGCATTCATTTGTGTTTAAAGGCACACTGAAAACATACACCGCTGCATCATTTCCAAACACAAACATGCAGCGGACTAAAAAGTGGACACACTGTGGTGACTTTCAGCAACACGCCACAAACACATCGGGACACAGCCGCTGGATTTTTAAGGTGATAAGGAGGACAACTGGTTCGAAACCCGCTGCGTCAGGCCGTTGTGTCCTCGGGCAAGACACTCTACCCGCATTTGCTCCTGTGGGTAATGTCCACAGTATTGACATTTACATGTGTAATATGTGTAATATGTAATTGTAAGGCGCTTTGAGCAGCTGTAAAAGCGCTCTAATTAAAATCATCATTATTATTATAACTGATTTTTAAGCAGTTCCCTTTAAAATCCATCACAGCAACATTTGTTTGTTATCAAGAGGAACAACGAGAGCATGATACATGATGAGGTTTACAACATGTCAACTTTAAGCCTCAAGTAGAAAGTAGGACTAGTATAACAAACTAGATGCAATGATTAGTCAATTATCCACTTAGTTCATCAAAAGAAAATCAATCTTCAAATTAATAAACGCATCACATGCCAGTTGTTTACACACAACACACACACACACATTTTGATAATAATAATATTGTAAAACTGTAAATAGTTATTTTGTTGAGCGTTGGTGAAATACTAATGAAAGAAATCAGAGGTATTACATTGGCATGCGGCACTTTCTTAAAAATATGCCCCTAACACTTTTTATCATACATTGAAAACTAGTTTATTATGTAATTGTTTGCTGCAGTTTTATAAGTACAGTTTTTTATTCAGCCTTGTTTAATGAAAATAAAAATCAATAAACAGATTTATTTAAAACATGGGATAACATGTGTTTCATATATGAATTTTAGTTGGACATTTGGGTGAATTAACCCCTAACGCATACGTAAAGAAGTGTGTTACTCCACCTGCACAATGCGTACCTGATCAATGTTAATAATTCAATATTGATACAAAATGATATTGCTTGATTAAACAACAAAAAAGAGATTATCATTATTAATTTACTGAGACTTTAATGACTATTTGTGTTGCTATATTATATCCTTCAGTCCAAGTCACAGTTACTCTGGTCAGATAGAGACGTGTCAACATGTGTCTGGGCAGATAATAATAATAATTTTAAAAATACGATTAATTGAGCAGCCCTACTATGCACACATGACAATAAAAGCCTTGAGACTTGAAATGGGAACAATGGGAAGGTAAAGATGTGGACAGAGAAACTAGAAGCATGAAGACACAGAGAGGACAGACTGCAGAGGGTTGAGAGAAAGTGTTTGTGTGTATGAGGAGCGGGTGAGGAAGACAAAGCGAGAGGCAGGGGCGGGGGGGGGGAGGACGCACCCTGCTGTTCGTCAAGAGTCATGGATCCCAGCTGTTTGTTTACCACAGACGAGGGGGAATCTGGAACACAAATGAAACCCACTAAACATCGGACACAGAGGCTGAGGACTTCACACAGTCGTCACGCAGGAGGGTTAAAAACGTCAGTCATGTTAAAGAAGTAAAAACGGTGCAAGGCCAAGCTGTAAAATCAGCCAAAGGTTCATCTGATCATTTCACATCCACTCTATGAGCAAAATGAGTCTCAGAGATTAGTAAAACATGACAAGTTCAAACATGCTTACTACATGTAGTGCTTAAAAAAACGTTATTTCCTGCAATGGTTTCATACGCATCAAGCTCACAAACATTATAATTACATTTTGTTTGCCTTTTGAAACCTCAAAACAATCCTTATCTGTCCAATGTGTTTTTATTTGTTATGAATTTAGTTAGAGAAGTGACAGCCAATCAAAAGCCTGCATTTTCATTAAGTATAGCCTAATAGAGAGGCGAAGTCCCGCCCATCTACTTCCGACCCATGGGACCTTATTTCGGAAAAATTATGTATTGAAGTCAATGGAGAGAGAAAGATTATCTTTCGATCCCGTTTGAATTGTGCCACGAATTACACATATGATGTTTCTCAATCTTAAAAAAGCATTTCCATGTCAAAAAAGTCAGTTTGTTGTAAAACTGTTGAAATATAAGACTATGAAAAATACGCAACTAGAAAGACTACAAATCCCAGAATCCCGGTCCCGCATGCTGGCTCTCACGGAACCGACTAACTCCCCTTGTGTGCATGTGCAGCTCTCAACGTGCCTAGACTTGGAGTGATTTTTGAAAGAAAGGAGTGAGATGTGCCAACGTGACGGCCATCTTGGTGTGTGGTGCGAGATGGGACATCTAGTTCATTGAGCGGTTTCACACAAAAATGTGTTACTTCACAGTTTTACGACACATTTTTTATATGTTTTGACTTGCAAAATTATCTTTTGAATTGACAAACATCATATGTGTAATTCTTTCAATCCCGTTTGCCATTGACTTCATTACATACTTTTTCTGAAATAAGGTCCCATGGAGGTCCCCCGGAAGGGGAGGGACTTCGCCTCTCTATAGTAACACTACCAATGCAAGCAATTGCCCTTTAAAATTTAGAATGACTTTTTGGTGTCATATAAGATATAACACATTTCAAATGTCATACATGCAGCTTGTTGGTGAATGTGACTGCAGTTTTAAATCCCTTAAAGAGTCCCTTAAATAATAATAATAGATTTAATTTGTTAGCGCTTTTACAGGTGCTCAAAGACGCTTTACAGATATAGTGAAGGGAAAAGAAAAGGAAGTCTAACCAGGACAAACCCTCTAACATGTCTCTTGATTAAATATCTTCCCTTTAACATAAAGGCTCAGAGATATTAAATGCACTTGTTCGCATAAAGAGCACTATAATAAATGCATTATTATCTTTAGTTTAACAAAATCTATTCAATAAACCATTCTGTTCAAATGTAAATGTGCTACTTTTACATTTCAAAGTTGACAGTGTAAGCTAAAAGTATTTGTTATGACTTTCAACAAGACCTTTCTCTGTCTTTCTCTCCTTTATCTTTCAACCACAATATTATTTGGACTGCATGGATTCATAAATGAGTATCCAGCAAAACATGCTCTACACACAGCATCTGATAATAGTAAAGTCATATATTGTCCTTATATGCTTGTGCACTGTCAGACATTAGAAAGTCTTCAACTTACTTCCAAAATAAGTTATCTTTGCACCAGAAGAGTTGTGTGGCTGCTTCTGTTGAGACTCTAAGTTAAAGGTGGGGTAGGTAAGAATGGAGAAACCAGCTCGAGTGCGCTAGAATTTGAAAATAAGCAGCCGACAAAAATCTGCCTCCTCCTTCAGACTTCCTCACAGAGCCCCTCCTCCAACACACACGAACGCGCACATGACCAATGAGGGCACGAGATAAGTGTGTGCACAGATTGAAGGCTGACAGGCAGGTAGGCCATCCAGTTACTTTAGCCGGGCCGGCTCAGATGATTGGTCGTGCTTTTTACAGCGCCACGGCTTCCAGAGATGACATTTTGTTATGTATTTTTTGTCAAAGCATTTCATGTATTCATTGATATCGGGATGTTAAGAGCATTCCATGGAATATAACAAAAGTGTTTCTGAAGTGAATTACCTACCCCACCTTTAAGCCACAGGAAACATATTTGTCATGTAAATAACATAACGCCATCATTTAACCAGGAACAGTAGATAGAAAAGGGCTTTATATTTATATATTTTATATATAGGGCTTTATATTTATAATTATTCTATTAATACAAAATTCCATGTATAATTATTCTCATTATGTAGACTCCTGCACTGCTATTTTGCACTTCTGGTCAGATGCCTAAACTTACATTTCGTCACTGGTACATGTACTATGTAATGACAATAAAGTTGAATCTGAATCTGAATGTGAATCCCAAGCTTGAGTGCGATCAGTATGCATCATTAAAACACGTGTGAACAACCACATGAGCTATGAGGATGCCAAAAGCAGAAGCTGGTGCCACTCGGGTGAAAACTCAAGCAACGAGAGAGGAGCGATGGAGTGACGGCATTAGTGAGTGAGGGGCTGAACAAACAGCAGAGGGCGACTCGGGGTTAATAAGTACAAGGTGCATTATTTTGGGGGAATGGAAAGAGGATCAATGTGAGATTAGTGGTCAGTTCTAGCAAGGCGGGGTCTTCCTGTAACCTCTACAAACAAACATGACTGCCTGTCCTACACAGAGGGGAGGGTAACCTGTGAGGGGTTGCATCTCAGCAGCAGAAGATGAAGCAGCCCTTTGTGACTGTCTCTCAGGGGCTGAGGTGGAAGGAGAGGAGGAAGAGGCAGATGGAGAAGAAGCACGGGCGGCTCGCGGACCCATTCCTGGGGGGTCGGCCAGCCGGAGTAACCTCTGCAAACGCCTACACACTAAACTTATGGGCAGCCGACGAGGACCGTACTCTGACGAAGAGGCAGAGGAAGAGAGAGGGAGAGGGAATGCATGATTTAAGGAGGAGGGGGAGGATGTCAGGGAAACAGAAAATAAACAAGGAAAAGGAAAACAGGATGTGGAAGTAAAGGTGGGGGGGCTGCTTGACTGGAGTCGCTCCAACAAACACACACAGCTACTCACAGGGGCGATGGTCTGAGGATGAACTGAGCTGAAGAGACAAATGTGAATTTTTGTGTAGCAGAAGGTGTGTAGCTGCTCTCTTACCTGAGAGAGCGGGGGTGGGCGTGGGGGTCCCGGTGGTGTCGGGCGAGGAAGAGGAGGAAGGGACTGAGCTCTCCACTGAAGAGGAGGTGGACGGAGGAGGTGCTGTGACTGTTGATGATGACCCTGAGGATGAAGAGGAGGTGGATTTAGGGATGGCTGTGGCGGCGGCTGCAGGTCCGGCTGGCTCCTCCAGGGGGGTTGGCTCTGCAGGCCTCTCTGGAGCGCTGGCCTCCTGATTGGCCGCCGGAGCAGGCAGAGCAGGAACACTCGACGCCCCCCCTGGACGCACAGCGGCCACTGAAACAAGAGGAATGATCAGGATTCATTTATGAATTTTTTATGATGTTTTGATTAAAATCTCACATTTTAAAACCCGACTACATGGTCAATTATGAATATCTATCACCAGCATTTGTGTTGCTGACACATATATGGAAATAAGGTAACTGAATTTGAGTCTTTATCTAAAAAAATGGAAAACTCAACTGACTGGGTATTATTTATTCAGTAACAATGCACTTTGATGAATTATTACTATACAGTAAAGGCACCAGTGTTAGCCAACATTATAATTTAAAACTTTTTTCTCTTGCTTGTAAACTAACACCTAGAAATAGATTATACAATATTTATCACATTAAAGTATGTTGAAAAGATGCCAACAGCCAAATTACCTTCATTTAATCTGCAAAATATATATTGCATTTGTTTGAAAACTCGGAGTTTGTTTGCAGACTGCATAAAGAAAGCAATATATTTCCCTTTAAATAAACAAAACCCAACATAAACAGACATCCACACAGGGGTAATTCCAGGACTCCTGATGTGTCTGATTGGCTGTGTGTGGACTCTCGTCTCACCTCTGGGACGTGTCTGCGGTCGAGTTCCTCGGCTGCTCTGAGCCTCGCTGGCCTCCTCAAACCACCGAGACAACATGTCCGACATCCTCTGCATCAGAGACACGTTCGGGCTCTGCTCCCCTGTGATAGTGAAGGATAAAAAGGTTAACAGCTGCTGGACGTATTAAAACAAACATGACAGAGGCGGATATGTGCCATCATATTTGATTGACATAGTTCATAGGGACTGGTGTTTCTTATAGGCCTTGGAAAAGAAAGGGGACATTTAATTTTGGCACATAATGATTAGTTGACGAGCCTCATGCTTTGGAAATTAAAACATTTCAACAAGTGATTAATTAGGGGAAATAGTGAAAGTAAGGTGTTTGTGCCAAATCAGGGTATATGCAGGAACCCTGAAGTCAAATGTAAGACCTGCCATGAATAAACTACACAGAATCACACTACACACCTACGCAATGAACATTCAGGCAGACTGTAGAATACAACCTCTTTGGACCATTCATATATTTATTGAAAACAAGCTACAAAATGTAATACCTTGGAAAATGGCCTTAATTTTCGCTAAATTGATTGATCAACTTTTAATACTTTTTAAGACCCCGCGGACACCCTGATAATCTTAGTAAGAAAATCGTATTTTTCTTCTGTTTTGGTATTTTTTTAAATTAAAGAATCCATTTAAAAACCCTTTGAAAAACAACAATCCATTCATCAAACATATTTTATTTGTTCTGAGCTGTCTTTGGTGTCTTCCAGGTTTGTTTGGGTTTCTTCCAAGTAGAAGAGGGCTATGTTTTGTGATATATAGTCATTGTGACATCAGCATCGCAGTGGAACACAGACATGGATGTGTTTAAAGGAGCCACCTAAATATTGGTGGGGGTATCACGAGCAACTGCTTTCATGTGTAAGCTGAAATGCTGCAGTTAGGCACAGCTGAATAAATGTGAATGAAAAAAACGTTTACGCTCCAAATTTGCAACCTTGCAAGAAAATGTGAATATCTAAGTGAGGAGGGGCGTTGGGAAAGTCTCAGAGGCCGGATCTGTAACCTGAGCTCTGTGTCAGTTGCTGTGTCCGTCTTACCGTCTCTCTCCCTCTCGCTCTCAGGGCGAGCGCGGGGTCCAGTGTCAGACCAGTCCCCCCGCAGGCGGAGGCGCTTCACTGGAGGCTGTCTCAGCTGTGGACACACACACACACACACACACAGAAAGATTAGCAGTTTGTCAGTCAAGGCATGGTCAAAAATAGCTCCGCTGCCAAAGCAAAACACTGCTCGTCTCTGTCAGCGTCCTTTTTTAAAGTGCCCCCTCCTGGCAGAGGTTGCCTCCATTTTCCAGTCGCCTGGCGCTCTTTGCAGGGCAACAGGCCGAGAGCCAGAAATAGAAAAGGGGGGTCTTAGTGCAGGGACTATCAACTGCTTTACTTTAGGAAATGTCATCAGGTCTGGTTATGGGCTAGAGGCGGTGAAAGGAGCAGAGCAGGGCAGAGATAGTGGGATAAATCAGAGAGCAGAGGGCCCTTAAGAAACCAGGCTACAGGTGAAGGAAAGAGAAAGAGAGAGGAGGGGGGGGAGGTAATGAGCCTCTGCTTGGCCCACTCAGCCTGAACTATTTTGGAGGATAGAGGAACACTGCCTACGTCGGTGGCTGTATTTGGAAAGGAATGTGTGTGGCGGTTGCATCCCGACACAGCTGAACTCAGCACGAGGCTTTGAAACACTGGCACCATGATCCAGCACATTCAGACACACGCCACCACCAGTAAACACTTTTTCAAAATGCTCACCCAAACAGACAAGATGACCCAGATACATTTAAGAAAAACACTGAAGAAGAAAACAGTTCTAATCAATAATCCATTTAGCCTTTTCTTCCTACATCACAGTGTTTTCCTCTCCTCTCAGTGCATCAGTTATCATCTCTTGGTGTGTTGGGGTTAACACACTTTCACTGTTTACCTGGACGGCTTTGATGGCCACACTTTCTGTTTCTGTTTATTTCCTTTGGTACATCTACAACTAAAAGGAATAATTAGATGCAAACCGTGGGTGCCAGACTATTAGAAAACAGTGTCAACAAAAAAAGGAAAAGCCTACAGTCTTGCAACTAAATGCTTTAAACTGCCCAATAAAGATGATATATATAAAGCAGAGAAAAATAGGAAGATTTCCTGCTTTTTCTCTGTTTTGTATAAAACTTAAATGAATATCTTTGAGTTTTTGAGCAACACAACGAGAGAGAAACTGGTATGTACTTTGTGACACCAATAGACCAAATGATTTATAGCTGAAACAAAATAAACAACAGATAAATCAATAATGAAAAATATCATTCTATTTATCAAGCTCCATAACAGTTTTATTTATTTTTTATTTAAACATGCTGCTTTGGAGCATATCTTTTTTATTTGTTGCAACCCATCCAATACATTTAAATGAATTGAAAGTGCTGAATATACTGACCCAAAGACATATCACTGTCCTGCGCCACTATCGTTACTAAAACCAGAAATCCCCCAACAAAAAAGATGCCCGTTTGTTAAACTGGTTTCAAAATGGTGGAAGGAGCTCTCCATTGATACCAGGACAAAAGTTTGTTTCCACCGAACGAAAGAAAATCTTATTAGAATGTAGTGCTTAAAATGGTAAGGGTTATTGAAATGTACTTGCAGGAAGCTCGCTGTTTTGAGTTTGCATCTCCATGTTGATTATGGTATAAGTCTCTGTACTGTATGTACATGTACAGCAGAGACTGGTGTAATATGAGGAGCCTGACTCCATGGCTCACCTCCTCCCTCCTCTCCTCAGATGGGCCCTTCAGCTCTCGGGCCTGGTCGTCTTTGGGGTCGAACAGGTAGATGTAATCGGAGGAGTAGCTGACCAGCACCTCCTGGCCGTCCGCGCTGTAGCAGAGAGACGTCACGCGGCACGACTTGTTGGACAGGTGAGCGGGGACGAACCTCACACACATCCCCGTCGTCCCCCGGCCCATGTAGTTACCTGAGGACGAAAGAAAATCCCTGTTAACCTCAGATAATCAAACTTGCCAAAAACCCAAATTTTGAAACTATCGTTATTTTATTTTTTGTAATATATTTTTTATTGACATTTGGCAGCAAACAATTACACGGTGTTTTTTCAAGACGTAGTAATTGTACATCTTAAGTTTGTCTGTCCGAAATGCCTTTTTCTTTTTTTACACAAAGATAAAATTAAAACAGTAAAAAGTACGAACATTAGGGAGTGATCAGGACGTCACAGTTAAATCATACGTTTGTAAAAATAAAATATGGCCTATGAGGTTTACGAAATCAGTCCACTTTCTCCATCGTGACACAAATAGTTCTAGTTTGTGGTTCCATTGTCACTTTTGAATGCTCTTGGTAAAAATCAAGTCATGTGAATCTACTACATCAACATGAATATAAAGACAGATGTGTGCCGGCGTACCTGTGGCTCTGGTTCCCAGCATGCGTCTGTCGTAGATCCGCACCGAGCTGTCGGAGCAGCCGACGGCCAGGTAGTACGGCACCAGAGGAGAGATGGATATAGAGGTCGCTGCCCGGCGACAGTTTATCAGAATGTCCTGAAGTCAGAGCAAAAACAATGAGGAAGGGTAGTACATGATGGTCAATGAGCGATTGACAAAGTCAGCAGCAAGAGGTATTTTAAGAGTCAGTATTTCCTATTCTGTACCAAATGACTTTTTACACTATTTTAAAATGAAGCTTCACATGTCTGTCGTCATAGTTTGAAATTATCATCTTACAAAAAAGGGGGAAAAAGTCATTGTTGTTTTTTCATTGTGGTTGTATAAAGATTGGATATTTTTTAATACATTTTATTTAAAACAATAATGAAAAAAATTCATTACACCAGCGTCAGTAACTCGTGGGGAAAAAGGGAAATTGTCGGACATAGTATGCCAGTTTTTTCACAAACGGAATCTAATAGAACAAGTCAGCGGCAAAGTGTTTCCTCATACTTTACCAAATGTAAGAGTTCCATCTAAGTGATCAATTATTTAAAGAATAATTTCAATGACAGTAGATGTCCACTTGTTACATTAACATGTTGTAGGGTAATTAAGAGGGGGGTGTAACTGAGTCTGGTAAAACTTCTGACAGTCTTAAGGTCACGAGCACGAATCCCAAACACGAAATACGAGAAGACACACACAGACATTGGACATGCTTCAGATACGGAATTTTTTTTTAAAGAGAGCTGCGCCGAAAATAAACTCTTATATCAAAAGAATGTGGAGATCATCAATACTTAATTGTTCCTAACTTCATCAGCCAAAGGAGAAGAAAGCCAATTACATCTTAAATAACACCTATTTATTGAAAATGCGTTAAACACTCCAATATACTTTTAATTATTTAAGATATACAGGTCAGGGACAGCAACCCTCGAAAGACGGGGCATTTTCACCCATAAAGTGCCAGTTTTTCAACATGATAGAAATCACCACGACTGCCCCCCTCACCACCACGAAGACCCCCACCCTCAGAGTACATGTATAATAGATCACAGGCTGAAAGGAGAAAATCATCACAGTTGTCATCGTACATCTTTGCAGTCTTCTTTTGTACAGCTGGTCTTGGTGCGGAGGTCAAACCATCGCACCGTGCCGTCCTCCCCACACGACAGGAACGTGTAGGGGTCATTTGGTACCGTCATAATCTGACAGAGAGAAGAGAGGAAGCTGAGGTTAGGAGACGGAAACCACGAGAGAAAGATGTTTGTGCTCCGTTTGCACAGATTTGAACAGCTCCACTAAGAGCGAATGAGCACAGTCTGAGGAAAGGCTCGGCGGTTTGGATCAAAAATCACAATATGTTTGACCCAATACATTGACAACGATATTGCAGGGTTGACTTCTGAAGTTATAACAAAATATTAACACACGGAACGTTTTGGTAAATAATCAGCAGTAATGAGGATTTATACTAAGTGGGTAAAAGCACAAAAATCTACTTGTCTGGTAAATTCAGAAAAAGGTTCGTACCGTAAAGCAGCCCTTATAACTAGCAAAAGACAACACTTCCATATCGCGAAATCTAAGACCACACATTGTCTCATATCGCTAATTTCTATATATAAATTATTATTATAAAACGGACAAGTCAAATCAAGCAATCTGATTGGTTCTTAGCCGTGATATACTGAGCGTATACCACGGGTAGAATTGTAAGTTACTTTTCACAACAAGTCAGTATCCCTCCGCGTCTGAGAAAAACAGTATACCGTTGGGCTGAAAAGCAAATGCTTTCAAACTGGAACAAGAAAGCAGCGGAGAAGTAACGGGGCAGAAACCCTCCTTTTTACGCAGCGGTCCAGACATAGACATCAAACGGCAAAACATATTCAGTGTGCAGTTCCTTTGGCATTAGGGCAGGGATATCTAGATACTTTCCAAGGTTTGACATCATGAATTGTGCTACTTTTAAAGCAAGCAACGATGTTTTCAAATCTGTAATCAAAGAGGTCCGCAAAAACACTATCGACCAATCAGATTGCTTGATTTGACTTGTCAGTTTTATAAATATATTTACATTTCTTCCGTTACGAAACAAACTTACAAAGCATAAGATGGAAACATTTAAGATTAACTTCGACTCCGGGGTGGTCTTCTTACTATGGAGGAGTGGATTGAGCAGTGCCTATCTCCAGAAAAAAAAAGCACATAAACGACGACATGCAGAGCTACGTGAAGAGCAGGTAGACCAACTGGAAAAGTACCATCATTCAAAAGCTTTCTGATGCGGGTCTTGAAACAAAGCAGAGAGATGATGACCGTTTTACGGTGTGTCCACACAGCAGCTTTGACCAAATCTTGAAAATCCTGGAGCTGGGCGTGTCTGACAGCTTGGGGATTTCGCGACCAACAACCAATCACATGAATATCCCGGCCCCGACATACAAAGCAAAAAAACCCGGTTCTTCTAATCTACACTATTGTCAAATAGGAAGGGCTATGATGAACATTTATTTTTTTAACATTTTGAACATTTATGAGATTAATGTTTATGGTGCTATTTTATGCTACATTCCATGCTGGCTAATGATACTGTCTATGCTTGCTAGCAACGAAGTAAACTAGCAACGAAGTAAACTAGCAACGAAGTAAACTGGATATAAAATCCCCAAACAAGCGAAAACCTACCAGTTTCACCCACTGCCTCTGCCACCTCCCCCCATGCCTGGTTCCTCCGGTTTGTATCCCAGTAAGTAAATAGGGACTGGTCATAAAGAACCGGGTGATTTGCTACCGCAATAACTAAGTTCTCCTCCATTTTTGTGGAATATAGAAATGAACTGCGGGTCTGGTTCTCCCAGCTTGCACGCGGTTTGATTGGCTAGCGCTTGAACTGTCAGATTTGCATAAACGGATCTGATTGGCTGTCGCTTCCAGCTCAGCCTCAAAAGTTGAACATTGTTCAACTTTGGAATCCTGAACATCCTGGAAATCTTCGCCTCGCCCCCCCACAATGCAGTTCGGCGACAAGCGAGGGAAAGTGACGTCATCCCCATTCAAAGTCAATGGGCGGAGACGCGCTGGAAGCGGTGGACAAATCGCCAAAAGCTGCTGTGTGGACGGGCCGCAGCGGCGTGCGTTGAAGCTTCCAACGCTTCTGCCCATTCACTTTGAATGGGGTGACGTCACTTTTAGCCGAAATGCATTTTGGGAAGCGACGTGGAGCGTTGCTGGCGTTGCTGGCGTAGCTTGCGTCAAAAGTTGAGCAATGTTCAACTTTTGACGCCTCGACGGAGGCGTCAGCCAATGAAATCCCGTTTATTCAAATCTGCCAGTACAATCGCATAGCCAATCAAACCGCGTGTATGCTGGGAGAGACTACGCAGGTCATTTCCTCATATTCAAAAAAATTGAGGGGAAATTCATTGTAGCGGTAGTGAATCACCCGGTGCTGTATGATCAGTCTCTGTTCATCTACCGGGATACAAACCGGAGGAGCGAGGCATGGAGGGAGGTGGCAGAGACAGTGGGTGAAACTGGTAGCTTTTCGCCTGTTTGGGGATTTTATATCCAGTTTACTTCGTTTTAACATTGCTATTGCTTTGTATGTCGGGGGCGGGAGATTCATGTGATTGGTTGTTGGTCGTGTTGCTCGCAAAAAATCCCCAAGCTTCAGATACGCCCACCTCCAAGCGTCAACGCACGCTGCTGTGTGGACGCTCCGTCAGTGGCCACAGGTGCGAAAGCTCTCTCCAGAGCTACTGGCAGCCAAATCTCGGGGACCGGAGAAAGTGGAGCAATATTCTCACCACGCCAAGCAACAGCCAGAACAACCTCAACCTATACAAGTAACCTCGTAAGCAGAGTTGGGTGTAATAATATTACTTTTGGCGGTAACGGAGTAGTGTAACGCGTTACTTTTATAATCACATTAGTAATCACACTACAGTTACTAACATTGCCCCGACACGCGTTACTTCTATAAAATAATCACACTCACTGACAGACAAGAGGGGTTTCCGCCGCAGGTTTATATACATGTAGGCCTATGTAATCTGCGCGATTTGCGAGACCACATCTCCACGTGCAGTGCTGCATAAACATGGCCGCTCGCTCTCTTTTGTTGATCGCCCTCTCACGGGTGAACAGTTCAATGCCCCGCTTCATTGTAGGAATTCTGCCGTGTCTCTACCACTTTAGTTTGACCATCTCTGATACTAAGTTATGGAATACTAAATACATAAGTAATTAGATACCTTACCGTTATGCGCTCATAAAGAATGATAAGAATAATGCGTCTTGAACTGGTTTAATTAATTAGTGTCTTGACGTTTCACAGACTGTTAGCTTGTTGTGTGGCTGGTAGCCTATTTTAGAGCATATCAAAAGAAAGACTTGTGTTATGTCTTCCTTAATGCAATAGTAATTGGGGGTGCAAGTGGAGTCTCGCAGAGGCAAAACTGTGGCGCGTACACTGTAGGTGCGCCGCAGTCTGCGTGATCTGCCTGTAGGGAGGGGCGGGCCGGCCCTGCGAGTAAAGTAACGAGTAAAGTAACGAGTAAAGTAACGAGTAAAGTAACGAGTTACTTTATGTAGAGAGTAACGAAGTAGTGTAATATATTCCTTTTTTTTTTAAAGTAATATGTAATATGTAATATATTACTTTTTTTTTAGTAACGACCCCATCTCTGCTCGTAAGCCATGCTACTGGTGCTGGACAGTTTTTCAGTGGGTGCATATTAAACGGCAACATACAAATGAATGTAAATAAAGAGCCAAATAATGGATCAACGCTCTCTGTCTAATATGTTCGCTAGCTGTTTGTGTTGTTGCATAGCAACCACCTCGCACTATGTTTCGTGCAGAAGGCAACGGAGGGACTATTTTATTTTGAACATCATTATTTACTAATAAAAACTATTTAAATTAGAGTGTGTATTTTTCTTTCATATTGCCACACTTGGTTCGCGTCGGGCCGAACCACGCCCCTTAGCTGTGATATAATGAGCATATACCACGGCCTGTCGTGAGCTATTGCTTAAATATATTGCTGAGTCCTCCACTAAAGAGGACAGCCTTTGCATTTGCTTTCATCAACAACACATTTGAATAGCCGTTAAGCTGAAATAAAATGTGCAGACTTCTACTCTTTGTCCCATGTTGTAAAATTGTTATCGAGCAACCAGACTTAGAAGATTTTTTAATGACTTTTAATAGTAGGCTACTTGTACATTTGCTGGTATTTAAATGGGATGATCCTAGACTATGTATGGCTTTATTTGTTGTTGATTTTTAAGTTTGTACCTGCCAAGAGATTGCAAATTGAAATAAGCTAATAGCTAAATCTGGCATCCGTCATTCTTCCTTTATTGACAGTATTGTTTTTTATGGACGGGGCCGGTTTAATTAACACTAAATAGTAGTAATAGTACCTCATAAGCTGTCCCGTAGTGGCAGGTGAACTGACACTGTCTGTTGTGCTCGGGACTCTTCTCCGTGTTGGTGTAGTAGATGACGCCGTCTCCAGAGCAGGAGATGATCTCCTGGTCGTTGGTGTGGGGCATGAACTTCGCGCTGAAGATATTCGCCCGGTGGCCGGAGCGTATGGACTTCTTGACCTGAGGAAGACCAACAGAGGAGGCTGGTTTACTGCTTAATCTTCTGATGAACGCGAGAAAGTAAAACACATTTTGGGTGCAAATAACTTGAACAGAAATGTGGTTTCTGCTCCAAAGTTTCTCTTGGAATAAAATCACACTGTACTTTTATATATTCAGTTTGATATTTAATATTCCATCTGTCACATACTTATGTATATATAATACCTTGCTTTATATCTTGTTAATTCAACATGTATATTTTCTACTTTCTTGTTTATTTCTTGTCTTTTAATATTAATATTCCTTCTGCCATATATGTATGTATATATTTGTATTTGTATATATAATACCTTGTTAAATTCAACATGTATATTTTCTACTTTCTTGATTATTTTTAGTCTTTGAATTTGTATTGTACATTGCCTTGTCTTCTTACGCTGCTGCAACACAAACATTTCCCAAATTGGGATCAATAAAGTACTATCTTATCTTATCTTATCTTATCTTATCGTATCTGCATTGTATTGATCACGACTCACCTTCTTGTTGTACGGGTTGGAGATAACCAAAAAGGTGTCGTCTGACCCCGACAAGAGATATTCACCCGTGTCGCTCCAGGATATAGTGTTGACCTGCAGAGAGACACAAGAACTCCCAATGAGATATCTACTTTGCATTTTAAATTAGCGCCGAAAGGATGTGTTTATAAAGAAACATTCTACAGACAGGAAATGAAACAATTGTATTGGTGTATTTGTATTTACAGCACCAGCTAGCTCTTACTTCAACATGGTCACTTTTCTTAAAAACAAATATACTGATACTTTTCACCATGGAGTACTTATGTGCTATTCTTTTTAGTTTTTGTACTTATTGTGTTATTAATAACGTGCGCATACTTAGCAATTTATTAAAAGAATCTGCACTTTACCCGCACTATCTGCTGTTGTAATAATGTAAATGTCCCCGTTGCATGACAAATAAAGGATTTAGGGAATGTAAGAACGTCATAAGATGATTATGAAGGAAGGAAAAACTCCAAATGATGAGTAGAGGGTCTAATTTCTTTGTGACTAAATTACATTGATTTACAAGTTCATTAACATTCAACTAAATGAAATCACGGTCGCACATTTGACCTAATCCTTATCCATCCATGAATTTAAAGGAGAGTTTAACAGCATTGAGGCCACGGCTTGCCGTCCCGCTGTGGATCAATATTTCATCACCACCTGCTCAAGAGTTTCATCAGCACTGTGTTGCTCTTCATTTCCAGAATCACTCTGCTGCAATCAGTGAAATGACACCCCTCCTCCGCCACACCCTGCAATCTGAACCCAGGGCTCGCTCTTGCAATACATTTTAAAAACACGTTTCGATCGATTCTGATCCTCTGAAGTGAAAGGATTTTAGATTGGGAGTAAAGGGCGGAGTTGAATCTGTCTTGTGTGTCTCATTTGATGAAAGGTATCATTGAGCTTTGTTTTAACACATGTCTGAGTGTCTTGTGTCATCATAGGTGCCTCGTTATAGTTAAACGGCCCTTTTATGCTCTTCCCTTTCCTGTAGACCAGGGGGGTCAAACTCAAATACACACTGGGCCAAAATAAAAAAATGGGTACTAGTCGAGGGCCGGACTGGTTCAATGTTTATTGCAGAACTTATTGAAATGAACTTAGTGCACATATTAAACCTGGAACTAACGAAGCTTAATATATTGCCTATAAAAACAACATTAAACATTAAATAATCAGTTGCATTCATTTCTTATGGCTCTATCTGCAGCTTTTACGGAGTCATTTGTTATGATTACATTATTTTTTTACACAAGTGCAAAAAGGAAACATCCATTAAACTCAGTTTGCTGCTCTGTGATATAGTTCAAGCCAGATACTTGGCATCTCATCTCGGGTGCAAGTTCATCAATGTTTGGGCTCAGGCTCTGAGCGGAGGAAACCCTCAGGATGGAGTGAAGGTGTGCGTGCAATATACCGGCGGGCCAGATCTAATAGTAATTAGAAATTATCCTGCGGGCTGAAATTAAATCTACCACGGGCCTGATTTGGGTTTGACACATGTGCTGTAGAGTGTGTTAAATAGATATTTGAGCATGTCAAATGTGTAACTTATTTTATTATAATTTTTTTTTTTTAATCTTTAGTACATTTATTTATTTATTTTTATGCATGATTAGGTAACATTAAGCTGTCTTTGGCTCTTTTCTGCTGTAACAATGTTCATTTCCCCTCTGTGGGACTAATAAAGGGATTCTGATTCTGATGTAAATGGTAGAAGCCCGTAAGAACCTGAAAATGAGTCTAATAGGGCCCCTTTAAAACAGAGAGTGCGAGACAAGTGAGACGCAAGGGGAATATTGGCAGGACATTTAAAAAACACCTGAACATGCCTTTCCTGTGATATAGCGCCTCAATGGTTTCCCAATAAAGAAGCTGTCTAATTAAACAATATTTTCAATATCAAGTGTCGATTATTCAGCAAAATTCTCATTGTGTCTCATATCTTGTCAAAACACCAAAATTGCAATCTACACAATATCGAGGAATGGGTCAAAAGTATCTAAATATAAATGTTTGTACACAGATAATAATGCTCCAAAATGATGTGAACATGTTAAGTTTCATTCAAAAGAACCACAAATCCCCCTCACAGAGACTGACTGATGCCTTCCACAAACGTAAGGTACAATGTATAAAAAACAGAAGTCCTTACCATATTCAGACACATCTGTTATATTCTAACTACCCTAAAATGTATATTCTTCACCTGAGTCAGCTGTAAATTAACCGCACATCGCAGGCAGGTTTTATTTTGCAACTAATACTTCCTTGTTTTCACTGATTTTGTAATGTTTGGTGCAGCTCTCTCTTGCCCTTCAGCCCACAGCTGACATGTTGGAGGCGTCCAAAGAAAGCCTGGTATATCCGGTAAACACTCAGAGCGTCCACTTACTGAGCGGAGGCAGTTTATCAGAGAGCAGTTTATCGTGAGCACAACAGAAAATGTATGACAGCTGAACATGGCTAGTGTCACGACAGCCGAAAGAAATGTGTGGGCATTTATTTGTACGAGAGGTTCCTGTTATCTATCTGGCTGGTGTTCTTTGTATAAGAAATTGAAAGTTTGAAAATACAATATTTAAAGGTCCCCTATTATACTGTTTTTCATCAATATATTATAGGTCTCAGATATATACAAAACATGTCTCTGAAGTGTTTGGCTCCAAACACCAAACAGATCATTGCAGCATCCCATAATCCCCTCTGTTTCAGCCCTGTTTCCAAAGTGCTGATTCTCTGTCTGTTACTTTAGGTCACATGTGTCAAACTCAAGGCCCGGGGGCCAAATCAGGCCCGTGGTGGATTTAATTTCGGCCCGCAGGATCATTTCTAATAACAATTAGATCTGGCCCGCCGGTATATTGCACGCACACCTTCATTCAATCCTGAGGATCTCCTCAGCTCAGAGCCTGAGCCCAAACATTGATGACCTTGCACCCAAGATGAGATGCCAAGTATCTGGCTTAGCATCACAGAGCAGCACACTGAGTTTACATGGATGTTTCCTTCTGCACTTTTTTTCTTGGGACAACAGCGCATGTTTTTTTTTCTTTGAGTTACCTTGGTTGGTGATTGGCTAATGGTTACTAGGGTTGCAAAGGGGCGGAACATTTCCGGTATAGTATATTTCAGCTTGCCAATACACAAGTAGAATACACTCATTTATTTATAACATGCAATGAAACTGTTCCTCATATCCTTTTCACTGTGGTGGTTGTTGTTAACAGAAGGCAGGTATTAAAGGAGCTCTCCTGTGGTTGTGGTGTTTTGGAGACGTTGAGGCTGATACTGCGACACCATGTGTGATTTCTGAGGTTTCAGGTTTCTCAGCCGCTCTCTGTCAGACACTTCACAAACTTAACGTGGAAAAGTGTTGTAATGTGTAGGGCTCTCCTCACCAAAGAAACTCTGAGTCAGGGGTGTCAAACTCAATTTCATCGCGGGCCACATTAGCATTATGGTTGCACTCAAAGGGCCGGTTGTAACTATATAAATATACATATATAAATACATAATATATATAAAATAATGTATTATATTATATTATATTATATTATTGCCTCTGCATTGGGTTATTATTGGATAGGGTAATAACTTCGTAATTAACTACGTTTGAAAGAATAAGTCTAGGGCAAATAATTGCAAGTCTCTTCGGTGTGCATGTCACAAAAGGAAATGCATTGTGGGACATGTAGTTTTTGGGCAACGTGCTTCTGTAAAGTGGCATGTAACCGTATAATAAACGTATTATATTCTTGCGGGCCACATAAAATGAAGTCGCGGGCCGGATAAGGCCCCGGGGCCATGAGTTTGACACCCCTGCTCTAAGTCAACAACCCTACCATTTTAAAAACTGATGTGTTAAACTGAGTTTCTCCACAAAGAATCGTTGAAAATACGGCTGCAGGATTCTGGAGAAATATCTAGATTTGACTAATTTAGCAATTGGCATATGATTTGCGATATTAGAGATAATTGTAATTTTTCTTTATCCTACTTCTCTACAACATAGTCCATTCAGATGTTTTCAGGTATTTTGCTTTTTACCAAATATTGCGCTTCCTGCGATTTAGATATCTCACTTCTGTGTTTTAAGATTTTGACCAAATTGTAATGAATTGTGCAGCCCAAAGACAAAAGCTTTAAATCCTGTGTTGTCCACAGACGTGCTGATGAGTTTAATGGAAACAAGTCATTAAGGATGAAAGCAATGAAAATTAAAAACATATGAAAATGTGGGGTACTTACACAGCCATCGTGAACATTCAGTGTCCCTTCAAGCTTAAGTCTCTGGACAAATTCTTTTCTACCTGTGGACAGAGAAAAAAACAATGTAAAATGACATGTTTCTTTATTTCTTCTCATATTCAAAGACAGCCCTATGCTAGATTCATCCAATCATGTCAACTCAATTCTATTATATTGCACAATATATGTAAAGTACTTAGTTTACAATGAACCAGGATATCTCTGTATTTTAAGGAAATTAAGTGGTTTTTTTGCATTAATAAGTACTTTAGCAATGAATTGATTATGCATAGCAGCTCTTGCAGATCATGTGAACATACCAGGGGCGCAGATAGTGGGACGGGGGGGTCATTTAAATAATAATAATAATATATATTTATTTATATTAAAAATATATATATTTAAAAATAATTTTTATAATTTTTTTCAATATATATATATATTTGTTCACATGATCGTTGTAATATATGCATATATATATATGTGTAATATATAGATTACTTTTACTTATTGTTAATTGTAATTCCTCTAAATTGTTATTTCCTCAAACGCCTTAATAAATGATCCTTCTTGCACTTAAAGGTAAATACCAATTCATTTGTTAATCTATGTACATACTAGGGATGGGAATTTGAAAGCAAATGTATATTATTCCAATATTCGACCCCCAAAAAAAGGGTTAACCGATTGAAGGAAATGTACATATCCTATAAGAAAGAAAAAAGTGGGAACATTTTTTACAAAAAAATAAATAAATACATACATGTTCAAATAAGTATATAAACCAAGTCGAATTTGTCAAATGTATTGAACTGGTGATCACAGTTTGAACAGTTGACAGCTGTAGGCCTAAGCAGAAGAAGAAAGTCAGATCTGCTTGGAGTTAGCAGCAGGAAAACAATGTACACTTTGAGTTTCTAAAAAGCAGCTTCATGATGAGACGATGTACCGTGTGTCGAGTCATATTTCTTTCACGTCTTTCCTTTCATTTTCATCCTTTGCGTATTCAAGTTTCACGAGTCGTGTACAACATCTACGTTATGCAATAACTCTACAGGTTGTGTGTCATTGTTTGTTGTTCTAAAAGAGACATAATTCAGTGTACTGAAAACAGGCAGTGTGCAAAATAAATAAAAATTCATATTTGAGTGGGCTGTTGACACTATTCTCCCACAATGCAATGCACAATGGGACCACGGAGGAGTGGCTCTTAGCGGCTAAAAATGAAAACTACTTGTGGATGAAAAAAAGATGAATTGATTTAAATAAAGAACACACCTGCCTCTTTGTTCAATTCATTTGTAAGTAGCATTTTAAAGTTGCTGTTGTGACCGACATCTGCTGCTGATTTAGTTGCGTCTCATATTGATTCATCATCAAAGGATCTTCCTCTCTGTCAGTGTTTGGTGCATTTTGAAAAAGAACAGTTTAATTGTACCTCAAATAAAGAGGTACAAAAATATGAGTTTGCGTGCATTCATTATTTCAAGTGTTAATTGTAAATGTTATGTAAGGGAAACAGCCAGCCTGAGATGTCGTGCACATAATAGCTACCTTCATACAAAGTGGGAACGTTGTTTTCCCATTTTTAAACATACGACAGCAGCTGAATATCCGGTCGGGAGCTTTGACTTGCACCGACAGGTTTCATTATGGCTGAAGGAATTAGACAAGCCTGCATTTGTGTAAAGGAGACACTACAGGCTACAGCATTCATTTGAACAAGAGCTAATGGACACGATGACATGTTTTTTCAGCACTAATTGTACCTCAAAGTGACGATGGTGTTTGGCCTGTTAGACATGGGAACAGAGAGAACATGGTGGCTGGCACGCCCACAGTTTAAAGCATCAGACATGAGAATAAGAACAAAAGCTGACACATATCAAAAGAAACATATTTCAAACAGACCTTTCCGGGGAGCTGAAGCTAGTATCTTTGCTCTCTTTAAAGCCACCAGACTCCACTGACAAAGACAGTCATTTCGATCTGCAGAACATTGAAGTTGCTGGTTTACCGCTGCTTCAATCGGTTAGTTAGTCCGAGTTATTGTGTTACTTTTGTAAAGTCAAACTGACCGTTAAAAGACAACAACATGATACAAAATCAAACAAACGAATAGATCATGGCAGCGGTGAAACCAACAACTTGTGTGTTCTGCAAGGTCATCATTTATGTTTTTCTCAATGAAGTCTGGTGGCTTTGACAAGAGCATGGACAGATACGTTCCCAGGATATCTGACGGTAAAGCAGAGGACATATTCTATGGAATACACTTAAACTGATGTTGACTTTTCAGGAGGGTGTTTAAATGGGTGGTTAAATAGATGATGCTACTGCCTTAGACCCATCGCAGTACATTGCTTCGCCTCCATGCCCAAAGTCTTTGTGGTTTCCAAACTGGGGGTGAACAGACCCCAATACACGGTCAGTAATACACTAACTGGATAATTACTTCATACATCCCCACTTCTAAACTTCTTAATATTCCTTTAAGATCAGAGAAAGCTCTGGACGATTTCCTATGACCTCCCAGAAGTGTCCTTGGAATTCGACGTACACCTCTATTCGCTGCCCCCATCCCCCCTATAGGAAGCTAAATATACCCTACAAGAGCTCCACACCATACATCACAGCATGTTTCCTCTACCCATAACACAACAGCTCGAACCATATCTCCTTCAAGCTAAATGCAGCCCTGACTAAACCTCAGTGGCACCTGCCCCACCTCTACAGGCTTATAAGTCTACAGTCAACCCCTGTCAGGTGCCGACTCTTTGACATGCCACATTGCAGACAATGAACCTCTCCGTCTCGCTGTGCCAGTGGATTTGTCCTCCGTGTACACCGTGGTCATGTTGTATTCTCAGGTTGTTCTCTCACAACCAACCAACACACAGATAGACATCCGAAAAAGCTCACTAATGAGGCCTATCACTGCAAGTAAACTCAGACTATTGAGTTTAATCGTTTTTACTTTGTTAAGTTCAAAACATGAATGAATATTTGGGTTCATATTTATGTTTTGTGCTCTTCTGTGACATGTCTCCGTGCTTTAATGTTCAAAAAGCTCTTTATTTTTCTCATACTGCCTGTGCTGCAGCACCTCTTTTCACCCTCTGTCTGAAACCAGAGCCCAGTCTGCTCTGATTGGTTAGCTGGCCGGCTCTGTTGTGATTGGTGCGCGAGCTTTACATAGTGATGTCACTTTGTTACAGAAGTCCATTTATATGCACACAAACCTAACGAAGACACAACAGGAAAAGGTAAAACCCCACAAAGTACAAGAGGGTCCCTTTAAGACCATTGTATTCCACTGATTTAATAGTAACATAATAATGCAAGTACACTTTTTCAAAAAGCATATAATTTATAATTCTTCAAAATATTCAGACATTGTAATTGGAAAAAAGTCATTCCTAAATATGAAGAAAATAACATTAATAAAAAAACTACACAACTGAACAAAATAAATAACTTGGAGTGTAGGGCTCTGTTTACAGACATGTAGCAGGTCTGTGCAATAGCACGATAATGAGAGGACACTTGGTAACTAAAGTGTTGGGGATTTATATAATCAATGCAACGCAGAAAGGAGGTCAGAATGACGATCGAGGTTGAGTCCATATATTGTACGATAAGTCGATAATGTAATTACTGTGACAGGCCCACTTGAGACACTTATAAACACTGCAGTGTCGTAACAAGATATATCAATATTTTTTTTAATAAATAGGTATGGAGTCGATCCAGTACTATTTATAGTTGATCTATTACGCTTGTCAAGAGACGCAACCGCCTTCGTCTATTCAATGTGGAAATATTCTATTTTAATAAACAAGTAAACAGTCAGTAGTGTTTTGATATAGTGGCCTGATATTCTGTATAATATTACATTATCTTTACTCCATATTACTTTACTTGCTTCGAATAATCTAATTGTCATTAAATTATAACAGCAATGAAAATAATCGACAATTTTTTTTAATCAATTACTCAATATCAATGTTCTTTGTTCACACAAAAAAAGAAGACAATACTTCAGACTTGAGAAGTGAATATGGGAGGCTGTGGCTCAGTGGGTAGTGCACTGAACTTTGAATCAGGGGGTAGCATGTTCGAGTCCCGCTGAAGTCAGCATGTCGTTGTGTCCCTGAGACACTTCACCCCAAATTGCTCCTGTGGGGATTGGCCACAGTACTGAATGTATGTAAGTCGCTTTGGATAAAAGCGTCTAACAAATGACATGTAATGTAATGAATATTTACAAAAGCCTGAGAGCAATTTCTCATAAATTAAAAAGAATACAACTGCATTCATGAGCAAAACAATGGAGTGTCTGAATGAGGAGATAATATCATTTTGATGTAGCTAATACTTCATGAAAAGCTGCACTATTAAGGATTAGAGCATAATGTGTAATCCTATGTCTCTACTGCTTTAGACTATCACGTATCCGCTTCAAGGGTACATATATGTTGCGTGCCGATTTGATCATATCCAACTCAAAATGTCAGAAACATTTTTTTTAAAAGCAAGCAAGTCCAAAGTGATGCCTTCAAATGTTATTTTGTCAGTCCAAAACCCAGAGAAATGTAGTTTAATATAATAAGAAAAATGAATAAATGTATACAAATTACAATAATGAGTTACATAAATAAGAATTAAAGAATCAAAATAGTGGATGATAATGTTTCTGTCAACCAATTTATTGATAAGTCAGAACTACTCTGATGTTCATCATCCATGGAATCCGTGCAATTGTGCAAAACAATGGACTATCTGAATAAAGGGATATTTTTTAGGTTTTGCTGTAGCTCATAAAAAGAGAGGTGACAAAGGATTAAATATCAAATGTAATCCTATATTTATAGTCCTTTCACTACAACCTTGACATTAGATCGCATTCAGACTACATTTAGGGCTGCAACTACTGAGTATTTACATTTTCGATTAATCGTCCGATTATTTTCTCGATTAATCGACCGATTATTTTCTCGATTAATCGACCGATTATTTTCTCGATTAATCGTCCATAAAATGTCAGAAAAAAAGGTGAAAATGTAAACACCCAGGTGTGAGTACCCATTCAGTTTGTAATGCTAAACAAACAACAGAGGAACGCATGACATTATTTAAAGGGGTTTGAACATAATGTTATATCATTAAAACATATGTATTATTTGTTTAAAAATACTTCGCCATTATTTATCTGTCAATCGATACGTCGTTGCAGATCGACTTTGCTGTACACCAGCTATGGAAAATGCGTCAACGCTACAGAACAATAGAATACAGAGAAGAGAAATGGGATGTTTATATACATATTACCTAAGGACCATTGAGGATTGTAGAGAATATGTACCCCCGTCTTTCCAGTGCTTTAGCTGTAGACTCGCACATCTCCGCTTCAACATGGATCAATTAAATGCCCTGCTGTGTTTACACATTGCAGAAGCAGTAATTTAGCAGCTTTTATGTTATTACATATAATCATAGTCATGTTGGGTCTAGCTGTCAGTGCGTGTGATTTAGTGGAGCTATACCTGCCTCACACAATGTTAAAAATAAACACATGTTTTTCTTGTCGTCTCTTCTACGTTAGCATCAAAGTGTTTTTGTTTCTTACCTAAATAGTTGCTCCTGATGATGTTGGGCTCGTTGTATCCAATTAAACGTTTATTTACATCCCAAACCAGGTTTCCAGAGTAGGACATCGTGACCATAATATGTGGGGTTTAATTAACAATAACATTGAAACTAAGCTAACCCGTTCCTGTTGATGTCGCCGTGTTATCTGTCGTCTTTGCCACAGATATCAGTCCCTGTGTGTCGGGACAAAGCTAACGTTAGCTTGCGGTGAGACGACACTCAACGTCCGCATCACTGGAGGTCTAGCCCCGGTCGTTGTGTTGTCTCCGCGGTTCCCCCTGAGTTTACATCCGCTGCCCGCTGCTCTCTGCGCCGCTAACTGTCTGTCCTGCTAGCCTAGCCTGGTGGTTTGATTTCTTCTAGCAGGCAGCGGTCAGCTGTGTCCAAACATCGCGATAAACTGCAGGGTTTGACCGAGAGAGTGGGAGCGCTCGTTTTAGAAAGCAGGAAAGCTGACGAGGGCGGAGTGTAATCAGGAAAAGCTCAGAAAGTGTTAAAGCATGAAGCATTTTTGAAGAAAAAAATAACACAAATCATTAGCCTTATTATTGAAAAGCATTAAAAGGATAGGACAGTCCAAGAAGTAAAAAGTCCTGGGTCAAAATGTCAGCCTTAAGTAAAAGTACAAAAGACCTAATCAGGTGTATTGACACAAAGGTGTATAGTGCACACATGTTATGCAAAACAAAATGCAAAAACTATGTTTTAGTTCTTTATTGATGAAAGCATCACTTCACTTTTGTTTACACTATCTGTATTTATATTTGTTACACTACTAGTTTTTATAAATTGTATTATGACTATGACAGACCCTTTACTTTAATCCCATTTTTGTAGCCTTTTAGAATAATCAGAATTCCTTAATTTACATTGTCACAGCAGTATAGATAGAGATGAAAGAACACACTATTAGATAATTAAAAAAAAGGCATGCACATAGTATAGATGAGAGTAACAAATGCGTCACTTCCGGGCAAAAATAACGGCTCCGCCCACTTTTGGGGGGAAACAACGCTGTCAGTTGAACGGCGGTCAATACAAATTCTGAAGTTTTTGCCAATCCGATCAGAAATTTAAGAAAACCGGAGATTTTTGGATCATCAAAGAGCCCGATTCCAATGGCCAGACAGGCAAACAATTGCATTAAGCCATTAGAAATCGACGATCGGGCTCGATATATGGTTACATATAGCAGTAGGCTATCGATTTTCATAGATGAGAGTAACATCGACGTCACTTTACGGCCCCGCCCACTTTTGGGGGAAACAACGCTGTCATTTGAACGGCGATCAAGCCTGAAGCCACAGAGCTCTTCTGTTACTGTCCTTTCTTCTTAGAGGAAGTACAGAAACACTGAACTCTTGATTATTTTTAATGTTTGAGGTGCAATAAACGACACAGCAGCTTTTTGGCATGATAAAACTATTATGTTCCGCCTCGCTCATGAGAGTAACAGCTGGAGAAATTACAGCCTCGCCTACTGATTTTAATTTAACCATATATCAAGACCGATTGTCATTACCAATGATCGAATGTAATTGTTTGCCTGACTGGCCATCGTAATCGGGCTCTTTGAAGATCCAAAAATCCACGGTTTTCCAAAAAATTTGATCGGATTGGCAAAAACTTCAGAATTTGTATTGACCGCCATTCAGTTGTTTTCCCCCAAAAGTGGGCGGGGCCGTAATTTTTGCCTGGAAGTGACGTAGGTGTTACTCTCATCTATACCGTATAATGAGACAATAACAGGCACAGATGCGGACACACACACAAATATATTTATATAAATATATACAATTTAAAGTATGAGAGCTCAGCACTCTCATAATAACGTAACACAATCAGAGACTGGATATATCCCACCCTCTCTTTGGTCGCTGAAATGGGGAATTGAAATTACGGGCCAAAAGTTGTATTTACAAGTATTAACTTGTAATAATAATAAGCCACTTACAATTTTCAGTGAGATCAGGGAGCAGATATAAGATGGAAGTTTCCCTAACATACAAAGCCATGTTTGGGAAACTTCCATCTTATATCTGCTCCCTGATCTCACGGAACATTGTAAGTGGCTACTGCCTGAGATCGCATGCTGTAGTTTTATTAAATGTGCCAACTGCTAGGACTGTCTTAGGGAAGACAGCTTTTCGATGCGCAGCTCCTCTGTCTTGGAATAGTCTGCAAATTAAATGGAAACTGAACAATCTGGTGCCACTAAATGTTTTTAAAGCTCGGTTGGATGCTACTCAATCGGAAGCTATTGGTACCTGTTTATGTGGATAATTATGTAAATGATGCTGTATGATGTCCTTTTGTTGTTCTATTTATGTTTTTATGTTTCATGTGGAACTACTTGAGCAGGTCTCCCTTGAAAAAGAGATCAATGATCTCAATGGGATTTATCTGTATGATTGATTGATTGATTGAAAAGTTTATTAACAGCTTGTATATTGGGTACAGTACAGTACAGCTCAAAACATACAATTGTTAAGGGGATGCAGACCAGAGAAAGACTTTCGTCTTGTTTACATCAGGGTCCCCCATTTCCAATTCATCATGTCATTTAAGACATATTTGACATACAGATGGCTTATTTACAATTTACATACAGGTGGTTTTTTACATACAGATTGCTTATTTACAATTTTCATTTTAGATTTCGTTCTAATACATCCTAACCAGACATTTAAGACATACCAAGTCTACAGATATACAGTTAGTAACAGAGTCTAAAATGCGAGTATATACATAGATGGGGGGGGGAAGCTGTCCATTGAACGACAGGTTGAGATTTGTACCATTACCGGGGCCAGTTTTGCAATGCTCTCCCCCGAAGGTGCTCTTTAAGAGAGGTATAAATAAAGATTTGAAATTAAATTAAATTAAAAGTAAGCAGAGGACACCAAACCAACTGAGACCCGTCTGTCCGCCGCATCTACGCACTGTACAACACACACCTACATACTGTACCACACACACACACACACACACACACATACACACTGCCTACAACACACACTTACAGCTCCTAAAGCATAATCAGGCTACAGCCGTTGTGTATTTTATTATGTGACGCACTAAATGGTCTTACAAAAATATCAACTCTTTGTACTACAGCAAATAAAGAGAGTAATGTAGGCCTGTTATACTGAGTGATATTGTACACTGCTCTGCTTTCTGCATGGACCTCACAGCTGTTCTCACTGTAAACATCGCAACGCGATGAAAGCAGTTTCTAAAATAATATCCAGAGGATGCATGCAGAGCTGTCATTGGCTGAGATAAGTCCGGCCGTGCGTCACGCCTCCACCGTTCCCGGAAATGCATCCGCGGAGGAGCCGTGGAGGAACCATCAGTGTATCCTCGGTTATAGCTCATCGATGCTCGTTCCTCGGTGTGCATTTAGAGAAATGAGACGTCCTTCAAAATGGCGCGCTGAAATTCATTTCCGGGTCACTACCGGAGGACCGAGGACCGAGGACCGAGGAGTCGAGGAGGGGAAATTTGAGTATTGAGAAGCCTCTCTGGTAGTTATCACCACACTACTCCTACATCCGGTACGGTGTCTGCAGAAGGACCAAAGAGACCAAATGCGAATACTCTACATAGGGTAAGTGTTTTGTTAGATAATATGATATTCTAGAAATGTTAAAGTAAAAAAGAAATTGTAAACTATTATTAATAAAAAAAACTATTCATCGCAGTGGGGTCTGTGACTATAACTTTGAGAATGAATGTTATGTGTTGTTGAGGGCTTTTGCAAACCTGAACCGACTACACTATTTTATTTGTCTACTTAATTACTTGTTTAAAGCGTCTTTGGGTCCAGAAAAGCGCTATATAAAATTAATATATTATTATTATTATTATTATTAACGTGTTGATTCACATCCACCCAGTCGAGCTACGCCGTGCAGGAAAAGTAGCCATCCTTTCTAAACCAATCATACCGGGGTTCTGACCGGACCGACCAATGAAGATAGAGGAAACATGTAGCCCCGCCCCTCACGAGGTTGGTAGGTTGCACGGTGCAGAAAGTCACCTCGTCGGTCAGACAGAAGCTAGCGGCGCTAACATGCTCACAGTGTTTCCGAGGGAAGGTCGACAGTAGGACAGCATCATCCATTCATATCCTTCAAGCTTCCTGCTATCAATTTACTGGACACCATCCTCCAAGTAAACAAAGGAATACTTTTATTTGAAAAAGTCTGTGGCTTTTAGAAAGATCCTTAGCTTCCTCACCTCTTTAGCGAGCTAGCTTCTGTCAGTTTCCCAATACTGTCATGGCTGCACTGAGAGCTTCCTATCACCGGATTTTGGACAAGATCGAGCACATTCTGCCCCCAAACCTGAGACACCTGTACAACCACCCAGCAGGTAATGTAGAGTTTATTATCCGGCTATTTGGTTAGAGGACTGGGTCTGTGTGGGGATATGTGATTGTATGTACGCATCTCCATAATCCTTCATCTAACATCAGCTCTGCTTGTACCTGATGTTAGACTGTATTGAGGTCATTGTTTTGATGGGAGAGCAGCTCAGTCTGTGAACAACAGCTGGGTTTATGACAGGAAAAGTATGAAGTTTATTGTGGTATTAAGTTGTGTATTTCGGAGGTACCACAACACAGTATAATGGATCTTATGTAAGGGTGCTAATACATGTTGGAAGGTCTTTTAGGATTATATATTGTGCCAAACAACAGATGCAGTGTACACATATAACTTATTTTAAACGTTATGATAACAGTGTTTCTACTTTTGTACATTTAAAATATAACTAGCTCAATTCCGTGTTCAAGAGGCGACATTTCTTAATTTAACCCCATATTTTATTTATTTGTATTTAATTTAAACGTTGTTTTGAGTTATCTTTATTTAAATGGTATGGTTGATTGTAGTGAGCCACCAAAAACAGGAAGAAATAAACCATTTTAAATGCTTAAAAAATATACAAAAATCTACTTACATTTGAGCCACTTGCATGTTATTGTCATCAGAATAACTAAAGTAGATGACCCAACACATTGACAATCACTGTTTATAGTCTCGTCTCATGATGATGAAGTAATTATTAAACAGTTGAATCTTATCTTATGTTCATACTAAAGATATCATTAACTATAACTGTGCTGCAGCTTCCAATTATTAAGATAAGAGTAGAGCCTTTATTGAGCCCTAGAGGGAACAAGTGGTTTCGCAGCAGCAGAGTATGCATTAATAGATCAAGCAAATCAATAACCCTAACCCTGGTTCACAAAACTAAAATAGACTAAACGATACAAAAGCGATTGAATACAAAAACCAAATAAAATGTACAAAATACAAGGAATCACAGTGGTGTGTAAAGTCACATATTAGCATATTATAAAATGATATAGTATCAATGTGTGCACAGGCT